AAGTCAAACTAGCTTTTTCCAATTCCTGTTTTGCTGACTGTCATTTCCTGTCTCTGTTTCTCTCTTTGTCTCCCCCTCTCCATCTCTCAGCCCTGTGCCTGCAGGTAGTGATAAGGACTGGATTCACTGCATGGTAAGCTGTAGTCTGTGTTGTTATGTGTGCCTTTGTGTTTGCCACTATCTACTCGAGACCCTGCACAGGTATGTGACATCACTTTCTTCAGGCAGTGATCTGTCTCTTTGGATCCTGGAACCAGCACTGGGGCTATGGTTTCAACGCATGTGCCCACACCACAACAGCTGAAGACTTGAGACGTTTCTTTCTTGGCTCCATACACTGGTTGATCTAATTAGAAAACATGGAAGCATTTTGCTTGGAGAGCTATCTGGACTGATAAGCAACTTTCCATAAATATAGTACTCCCATATGTCCAAAACTGTTTTTTAAAGCATCAAAGAAAAATACCTTTTTTGTTTGTTTCTGCTGTGAGAACTCATAGTTGTTCAACCTCACAAGTAGCTAGTTTTAAACACAATGTTACTAAAATGTTGCATTCCTTAAAAATTGTCGAGAAATTACGGAAGCCCTAAACCGCAATGTAAAAAAAAGGAATTTTAATATTACGAGATTAAAGTCAAAACATTACAAGAATAAAGTCGTATATATATATAAATGAAAGGCGTTAGTGAAATCGAACTGCCTCGAACATGGATCTAAACGTAATAGTAGCTTTTTACTTTTATCTGGGCTTTCAACAAAAGGAAATTCTATAGGTGCTTTTTTACCAACATGGCTTACAAAATATACTGCACTTGAATAGACTTTAAAGGTGAAAACGCTTATCAGACTGGATGGAGTTAAGATACGCTGCGTGATTGACAGCTTTGACAGCAAATGGATATACATGGAAATCAGATGACATGATTTCACAACTTTTCATTGGTCATTTAGACAATGTGAAGCATGCTGTAATACGGAAATGAACCTGGACATTCTATCCGTCAAAAAATCTCAAAATCGTCAAAATGGACCCGGTTTTCATCGGACAGCGACGTTATAATGTACTGATGCTTTTCTGACGTCATTTGTCGAGTATGTGCTTTGTCGTGGTAGCATACAATGGCAGAGAGAGGCGAGACGCGAGTGCGAGTAATTAAAAATGTTCTTTTAATTTAAAAAAATTACTTTAAAACCCTACATCTAGTGTAGGTTCACACCCCTACCAAGGTGAGGTTACAATGAATGTTGGTTCTATCATAAAATGCACAGTATCAAAAATAAAAATTAATAGAATTAAAAGACTACACAAAACAGTAAATACTTCACACAATTTTCTGGGCTGCATGTGCATTTATAGATCAGTTCATCCATGATTAATGTAGCAAAGTTTGTTTTAAAGTCCGTTTCTGTCTTCACTGTCTGGACCACATGATCACAATTTTCACAACTTATCGGATCGTAGTTATGGTAACCAAAGACCCTTCTTGCCCCTGTTGGGGGAGTGAGCTATGTCATCTGTCATAACTCTGCCATCATTGTTTTTAGCCCACCCACCAACTCTATGCACAATATGTTTGGCCGGACCAGAGTTTGGTTTTTCCAATTCGAAAGTCAACGGAGAGTTGCTAGGCCACACTGGCCGCAAAATAATTTTGCTGCCGCTAGGAGGGTGAGTCTAGATTTCTAGGCTACCTGAATGCATGAGAATGTAAAAACATTTACAATTTAGGTGCATAAACAAGCCCAGCTTCACCATTGAATCCATGTGCTTAACATTGCAATGAATTCTACCCTTCAATTAGCATTCCATTCCTTTCTCTCTCTGTCCTCCTCCTCTCTTTTCCTTTTCTCTCGGCAGTTACATAATCTGCTGCAGAAGCTAAAAATGGACAGGTAAAGACAATTATAGCTCCACAATAGCTGCCTGACAGTGAGTCATCATGGCGTGTGTGTGTGTCTGTGCAAGTGCACCACAACATTTGTCAGTATTCTGTTTTTAGCAGTCCAGTCATGCATGCACATGGGAGGAACTTTTCTTTCATGGTTCGGACTGATGGATTTCATTTAGCAGTTGAAGTGTAAATTGCAGGTTAATCTTTTCAAAAAGATAATGCAATGTGCTTACTAAACATAAAGATAAAAACCGCCCACAATTGTTTTTTTTTTTTATGTTTTTTTATACCAAAATGCTGCATATAATATGAAAAGTTTATACATTTTACAGTGGTTTTAAGCACGCCCCCTTTCCTTCCACTAGGCTGGGCGTGACGTCATTAAAGGGACTCCAGGCTTTTACTGTCTATGCCTGGTCTATGCTCCACGCCTAGAGTTACCGTTAAACGCAAGTAGGCTTCCAGTTATATTGGAGACCTAACTAGCAAAAATGGTTAAAGGATCTTTCCGAATTTTAGAGAAGACCCGCCCTCTCCAATTTTTTTTAAAAATGCACATGCGCAACACTCTATTTGCTCCCGAGAGGGAACGCCTATTACGCCTTTCACAATTATGTTGTATAAACTAACTCAAAAACATTCATGCAAGACAAAATGTCAAATGCCCTTCCATGTTTTATTTACTTATACTGATCGATTGAGTGGCCGAGGACTGATATGCAATGGAGAAGTAGCTTGTTGCATTTGAGTAATAAATACTATGGTTAACACATTATAACCTTTATAACACATTATAACACATTATAACTAACCTGTGCTTTTAGCGCACGCCAGCGTGTGAAATATTCACCCAAAATCACCCTGGTCTTGTTTCTAAATTCTGTGGCCTTTCTCTTCTTTTCATACACTTTGTATACATTTTTTCTCTTTCGAACCTCAGCCATTTTCAAAGGAGTGGCTGAAACCGTAACTCATCACACATAATGCACCTGAAAGCGAAAACTACATAGGGACGAGCATGTACGACGGCCTTACGTAAACATATCACCAGAATGGTTGACGATTAGGTGGACCAATAGTATAGGCTACCCACCCGGAAAAAGAAAATCCTCCGCTATACCTTTAGCTATTGTGTTTGTGCGGGATGACATCAAAAATGGGGGAGAGGCTCAAATGACAAATGACTGATTCGTGCCTGTCAGTGTTAGCATACCTGCGTTAGATCTTGGTTATGCAAGCCCGACCCTAACTGAGCACGAGCCAAGCCCAGCCCGACACATTAAGTGTAATTATGAGCCCGAACCCCGATTTAAACCCAACCATTTTTTAATACATGGGTCATTATTATAACTGATGTTCTCAACTACTTTCTATGTTACTTTCTCCCTCCCGCAACATTTATGTTTGGTCTGGCTCCCGTCCGCAAAAAGAGTATTTTTTCTGTACCTCCAAATACTTTCAAGTTAGCCTACTTGCCGCAACCACAGATATAACATACATAACAATATACACATTTATAACAAGCAGGCTAATTTAGTCATGCATGGTTTGGCATGACTGTGCGCAAAGTGCGCTACCATAATAGTTCCTATGTTTTATTCATAGATATTTCTAGTTTGAAGGGAGTACCGCGAATCGTTTTATTCTCCCCCAACTCGAACACACAGAGTGAGTGCATTAATGCACTCCCTCTTATGACGTCATCACCCAGTTACTGTAAAAACATGCAATTTTGAAGAAACCCCAATAAATGTTATTTTAACGCATATTAAGAATTGTTTTAATATATACATATTGAGCACTTTAATTTACACATTAATTTGTTGTGGTGGTCAACCTGCAACCTTCATTTGATCCTTAACTTAACTACAAAAGGTGTAGTTTACATATCTAAGAGACATATGCAGACTGACGCAACGTGTTGCCATGGCGACAGGACCCAAGCTAGGGCGAGTACTGAGGATCTATAATGAAAACGTTTCATTCTGTGGCTTCTCCTTCCCCCTCATTATGCTTCTTTTGCCCTTTTTAGCAGACCCAAATCATACTACATAAGCAAAGGGCGCTAACATTTTTCCATACATAAAGGCAAATGATTGTTACAAAACACTACAGACAGAACACAAACTTGTACAGAACATCTAGAAATCATCTATCTATCTATCTATCCATTCATTAAATCAGACATTCTGAATTCTGAATTTTAAAATACATTATGGGGAAAAAGTCTTTTGACACACAGACATCAAGAATAAGCATATGAATCTCAACAATGGTGACATGCTTCATGCAAAAATGCATGCTGGGAGCCACCATCTATCGATAAATTACAGGAACGTCTGTCTGTCTGTGTGTCCGTGCGCCTGTCCGTTAATCGAATATATCTAGAACCGTTAGTCCGATGGATTTCAAACTTGACGGGTGACTTGCGACAAGTTTGACATTGTTTGGATTAGAAATGCAAAAGATATAGTTAAATATATCGGTAAAAGAAGCACACATTAAAGTTGTGGTTTAAGACTTTGCAATATAATTAACTATTTGTTATATAAAATGTATACAATTTATATAAAAAATATAACCCCACCAATGTTTTGAATTTCCATTTTGGGATTTAACTTGCAGCATAATTATGACCATAATGTATGTCATAACAACAGTGATTTCAAATAACACACTACATACATTCATGCAAGAATTCATCCAACCAATATTAACCAAATTCATACTTCCATTAACAATCAGTCAAGCTATCTCTTTATCAATCCAATCTTCAATCACACCTCCAATCTCCATCATTGTGACCATCCATTCAGTCAAACCTTTTCTTAATCAATAAAGTCCTCCATCTACAATCTATCCATTTATGCATCCATCATTTAATTATTCATCCATTTATTATCACAGTGACAATCTATCTGTTCCTCCTTTCACCCATATCATTAATTCATCCCTCCCCTGCTCCATGACCAAATCCATTTATTTATTCATTCATTCATCCATCCATCCATCCATCAAACCAAATCATAATATTCATGAATGCATTCCTCGATCAATAATCTGTTTATCAGTCCATCTATCCATTCCCTACCAGCACTGTGTCCTACCTGGGCCGGTGAGTTGTGTTTCCTGCCAGTGTTGGGCTCGTGGGAGTAAGGTAGAGCAGTAGAGCTGGGACCAGCCCCCTGATGCCCCCCACCGCTCTTATCGGCTCCAGCCACCCCTCCTAAGATGCAGCAGAGCGCTCCCTGGGCTAGCTCCATCTCTATCTCAGCATCCATCTCTGCCTCCTCCTGGGCTTCTTTGTTAGAGTCATCCAGGTGTTTCATAAGTACCGCCACAACCACATTGATGAGCACAAACTGGGCCGTGAGCACAAAGCTCACAAAGTACATAGGAGAGATGAACTGCAGGCTGGGATTACAGGTGTATTCACCCTGCGGGCATTCTCGAAGAGTGTCCTACAGGAGTGAAGATAGAGTTACCATAAAAATATTTGAACTTAACAGTTATGTTCATTTGCCTAGACAAATCAGGATTACTACACAGATTTTTTAATACTCGATCCCTCCTCTAATAAGATCATTTTCTTAATCTGCAATTTTGCCTTGTTCTCCAGTAAAAACATCTGAACATCCTTAAAATACAATAACAATTTTTACTACTGTTTATTTTATTTTATGCAAAAAAAAAACAAAAAAAAAAAAACAAGAGAAACCCCCAACCGGATTAAGTTTATTTGACATTGTATATTCTCTCTCTCTCTCTCTCTCTCTCTCGAAACTTAAGGCTGTAATTCTAACATCTAGCTGTGGGCGCTTGAGAGCGTTTTGGCAGCGCAGCTTTTTTTCCGTTGAGACATTTCGTTGCTATGATACAGAATATCCACAGCACAGTTTACTTGTTACTTGTTTACACAGTTAACTGATTTCGCAGATAATTTTTCATACTAAAAAATATTTTCATCCATTTTGTTCGGTGGTTCGCTGGTTCAAATCGTTGACATACAGAAAGAATGTTGTGACATTTGGTCGTGTGGTATTAGTCCCACCCCTACTCCACTGTGATTGGATGGCTGAGTAAAAAGTGACAGTGATGAGCGCTGCGTTGAACCAAAGTTGAACATTTTTCAACTCTCGGCAACCAGTAAAATCGCTACGCTGGGTGCTCGGCAGTCCAGCGTGAAAAAAAACAAAACGCTCAGCTCCCATTCACACACTCATAATAAAAGCGCCATGATTTTTTTTTCGCAGTTTGATGAAAAAATGTCAAATTTTCAGAATGCCAGTAGCATTTTTTCTTTTCTCCTTAAATAAATCTAAAGTAAGCGTTTTTCGGTGGTGGAAATCCATTACTTAAACGTCCTCGTCGAGAGCGCATTTCATAGCTGCATAGCAAATACAGACGCCACATGAGCAAAAGCGCTTTGGAAAGTAGACGGATACGATAAGTGAACGGCCCCTTAAGTTAATTTTTATGTTCTGAAATCTGAAATGTCAATAACTTTGTTTCAATAGTGTTGTGCACTGAACACTTGACAAATTACTGTGTATTAGATAACATCAATCGAACAATGAGCACTAAATAATTACCTTTTTTTTAAAATTGATCATGGCTTCCATCTCCTTCAGTTTGCTGACAACCAGCATTTTGCAAAAGACTGCATGTAGCATGAACAAATCAGGAACAACATGACTACAGGAACAAATCCCAGACTGCCAGGTTTATTTTTATTTATTCTGATGTAACAAACTACTTCTTTCCTTCAAAGCTGCAGTAACTGAGAGTTGCTCGGAGTAATTTCGCTTGGCCACTCATGCATGCGGTATGAGTTCGGGGAGGCGATGGCTTCTCTGCAGGTATGAAGGAACTCGCGTTGTAATTTAAAGCTCTGATTATTGTGCTCTAGCTGCCAGGAAACAACTGCAACTGTAAAACTGATTGTGTGTGTGTGTGTGTGTGTGTGTGTGTGCCTAATGGGGGGAACTGTCACCCTCCATCACACACACACACTCTGGTGTGTGTGGGGTGCTATGCATCAATGTCGTGACAATGTGTTCTCATTTATTCAGGTGTGCTTTACTACTGCGCTGAATATGCTGAGCTGGTAGTTCCTCCATCATATGCCTCCCATATAAACGACAGGTTAGAGGGAGAGCAGATGAAAGGTAGCAGGTTCTCTTTACACAGGAAGATAAGAATTCATTCCTCAAAGACAAGTGTATTATAGACGAGAAAGATACAGAGAGCAGGAGAGAGAAACAATGATGAAAGAGGCTATAATGAAATAATGTACAAACCAAAAGGAGATCAAGAAAAGTGTGGAAAAATGGTGAGAACAGATTATGACGCTGAAGATGTATAAGCCACTACCTCAAAGGACTTTTCATAACAACCTATGCTGGAATCTTTACTGCGGCGATGCATTAGAAACCCGGCCGTAGCTAGTAAATTTTGTGTCCCCACTCATATCATATGGTAAGACATAGACATGGAGGCCCACATCTAGTGCCATGTAACCTAATAGGGATTTCTTATGCAATAACTATATATATATATATATATATATATATATATATATATACCCATTTTATATAAATTTATATACAAAGTTGATCAAGTAATCATTCAAGACAAACTAATAAAATAAAAACAAAAGACAATAAATTTGGTCCTTCTGCTATAATTAATAACCATTGGACTAAACCATTTTTATGGACTGGAGAGAGAGAGAGAGGAGAACTTATTTCACTAAAGTGAATGCTTTTTTTTTTGTTTTCATTAAACTCTTGGGCGTACACTGTAATATATACTATAGTAGTTCATAAGATTAGGGGAATACATAGCATAAATGACATGGCAGTGAATCTAACACAGAAGATCCAAGTTCTCATTTCATTCTGTTATGTTTTGTCTGTTATAATGAATTCAGATGCAGCATTGAAATTTGCTATTTTTAATATTTTGCTGAGTGCTCGTTCTCTTCAGTCCCAGAAAGTGACAACAGCAATGTTCTCTTTTCAATTCTACTTGCAAGTAGTTTTTTCCAGAATGCAATCATAAAACAAAATACAAAGAAATGTATTCCTGTTGTTTGTACATTGTAAGCCTAATGCAATTAGGGTCTATTTATTATGGTCTTGACCATCTTATATTCAAATCTAAATTATATTTGGTTTGGAATTGCATTTATTCATTAATCTACAAAATCACAGCAGTGGCAGATGTAAGGATGAGGATATCAAATTATATTCGTCATCTCCTTTTAATACTTGAATCAGCTTGCCAGAATGACTGTTCACACAAATCACCATTTAATTAGTTAAAAAAACTCATTTATTCTAAAAATATATATATATATATATATATATATATAATAATTGTAATAATATTTCACTTTTTTGATCACATACATGTAGTCTTGGTGAGCATAAGACTTCTTTTAAAAACCTTTAAAAAATCTGACAATTTCAAAGTTTTTTTTTTTTTTTTACTAGTGGTCCCCACCTCTTTTTACAACAAAGGGATGCTCATAGTACTATGGCTCTTTGTTCTGCTGTACCTTCATTATGCCGTTCCAGTTATCACCAGTGGAGACCTGAAAGAGGGTGAGGAACGCCATGCCGAAGTTCTCAAAGGTGGCGTGACGACTCATGCCCTCACATGGGTAGTCCTGGTTGCACACTGAGGGGAACAGATAGAGACGTAGAGAGAGTTTGTTTTGTTACATACTATTGTGAATGTTTCTTTTTACCTAAAAGCTTTGTTTCAATGTAACCTATGCAGTCCTGCCAAATTCAGCTTTGAACCACAAGAAAGTCAGTGAGGATAGGAGTTAAAGAGGAATAGTATGCGTTTACCCAGCTCTCCAAACAATTCCACCCCCAGTGCAGCATAAATGAAGAACAGCAGCATGAAGAGGAGGCCAAGGTTCCCCACCTGAAACACACCAATCAACACTGAAACCAGCACACATACACTCACCCTTAACACAATATACAGGCTAGCACACCATATTACATTTACACTGAATCATTTAGCAGATAATTTTATCCAAAGCAAATAACGGTAACACTTTACAACAAGGTTCATTAGTTAACTACATTAGTTAACATTAACTAAGAATGAACAATACTTCTTCAGCATTGGTGAATCTTTTGTTAAATGTTAATTTCAACATTTACTAATACTTTATTAAAATCTTGATAACATTAGTTAATGCACTATGAACTAACATGAACAAACAATGAACAGCTGGATTTGTATTAACTAATGTTAACAAACATTAACAAAAACAGTAACAAATGTATTGCTCATTTTTAGTTCATGTTAGTTAATACATTAACTAATGTTTAATAAATGAACCTTATTGTAAACTGTTACCCAAATAACAATTATCAGAATCCAAGAGCAGTACCACAATCTGGAGTAAGATGAAGTAGAAAAAAATTAGTGCACAAAAGTTTGTAGATTTTCATATTCATATATATATATATATATATATATATATATATATACACACACACACACATATATATATATATATATATATATATATATATAAAGATAGATAGTCTATTATATTCATAAAAAAATGAACAGCTTAAAGTTTAAGTTGATAGCTAACAACAAAACCCCAGTAATCCCGCAGTGCCTTAAAAAGGACATTTCCTACCATGTTTTATGTTTAAACCTTATTAAACCTAGCTATATTTATGCTTAAAGCTAAAAATAAATATTTACCAAAGGGGTAAGAAAAATAAATATATTTCAAGAAGACACACTCTCTCATTATGTTATGCAATTTTGCTTATAAATATAAAGGTATAAGAATGTCCATATATTTTGGCTTGGAAAATATGTTTCTAAGACAAAAAGAATGACCCTAAGGTTTTGTATAGATGGATAAGTGTCTGTAACAGACATAACAATAACAAAAAGCAATGTAATTTACATTACTGAGGTCGATAGTCTGATTGTCTAAGTGACGGCTGTAGCTGTTTCCCTGCAGCAAAATTAAGCAGAACAAATTTGTGATTTAACAAAAAGCTCATAAATGATGGAGATGGATGGTACCAGTGGTCATGTCAGAGGTACAGCTATAGGAACAGAATTACCCTTCTTAATGGAGGAAATGACATGCGTGTGCTAATGTGGCCAAAGCATATGATAGCATCATGTTAGCTACACTAATGCTAACACACAAGCCTGTCAGACAAAACCAAATGTGATAAAGAATACGATGTGCCATACAGCTAGCCTGAAGTGCTGGTATTAATGAACACCATGTGAGATAGCTATAAACATGTAAAATGGTGAAGGAAACAATCAGCTCACAATATTGTAATTTGCATAGTTACACGATGTGGTTGGCTGTGCTTTTTATGTGGCGTGCCAGCATGTATGAAACAACAGCTGAGCTTTATTACTATTTAATGCTAAGTAATGGACTATCAAACCAATGCTACAAAATGACAGTCATTTGGCTTCAAGATGTCAAAAGGAAACATTATGACTTAACAGAATCAAGATCTTTGCACAATAGCGGCAAAACTGCTTCCTCCTCCTGTTTGTTCCTGAAGTGAGCATCTTTGGCTGTGTTTCAATCTAGAATGAGCAATCTAGAATTCAATCTATGACTACCGACATGTAGCAGCATGTAGACTACCAGGTACAGGCATCTAACAAGCCTTTTCACTATAAAGCACAAAATATTGGTTAGGTACCTTAGAAACAAGCGCTGGTTTCACACAGATGGTAAATCCACACCATTTGATATACACTCACCGGCCACTTTATTAGGTACACCTGTCCAACTGCTCGTTAACACTTAATTTCTAAGCAGCCAATCACATGGCGGCAACTCAGTGCATTTAGGCATGTAGACATGGTCAAGACAATCTCCTGCAGTTCAAACCGAGCATCAGTATGGGGAAGAAAGGTGATTTGAGTGACTTTGAACGTGGCATGATTGTTGGTGCCAGAAGGGCTGGTCTGAGTATTTCAGAAACTGCTAATCTACTGGGATTTTCACGCACAACCATCTCTAGGGTTTACAGAGAATGGTCCGAAAAAGAAAAAACATCCAGTGAGCGGCAGTTCTGTGGGCGGAAATGCCTTGTTGATGCCAGAGGTCAGAGGAGAATGGCCAGACTGGTTCGAGCTGATAGAAGGGCAACAGTGACTCAAATAACCACCCGTTACAACCAAGGTGGGCAGAAGAGCATCTCTGAACGCACAGTACGTCGAACTTTGAGGCATATGGGCTACAGCAGCAGAAGACCACACCGGGTGCCACTCCTTTCAGCTAAGAACAGGAAACTGAGGCTACAATTTGCACAAGCTCATCGAAATTGGACAATAGAAGATTGGAAAAACGTTGCCTGGTCTGATGAGTCTCGATTTCTGCTGCAACATTCGGATGGTAGGGTCAGAATTTGGCGTCTACAACATGAAAGCATGGATCCATCCTGCCTTGTATGAACGGTTCAGGCTGGTGGTGGTGGTGTCATGGTGTGGGGAATATTTTCTTGGCACTCTTTGGGCCCCTTGGTACCAATTGAGCATCGTTGCAACGCCACAGCCTACCTGAGTATTGTTGCTGACCATGTCCATCCCTTTATGACCACAATGTACCCAACTTCTGATGGCTACTTTCAGCAGGATAATGCGCCATGTCATAAAGCTGGAATCATCTCAGACTGGTTTCTTGAACATGACAATGAGTTCGCTGTACTCAAATGGCCTCCACAGTCACCAGATCTCAATCCAATAGAGTATCTTTGGGATGTGGTGGAACGGGAGATTCGCATCATGGATGTGCAGCCGACAAATCTGCGGCAACTGTGTGATGCCATCATGTCAATATGGACCAAACTCCCTGAGGAATGCTTCCAGCACCTTGTTGAATCTATGCCATGAAGAATTGAGGCAGTTCTGAAGGCAAAAGGGGGTCCAAGCCGTTACTAGCATGGGGTACCTAATAAAGTGGCCGGTGAGTGTATATATATTGTGGTACTAAATGATTACTATATTTATGCACCATAGGTACTTCAAAGAATACAATGGTACTACATCCATAAGACTTATATTCAGCAAGGAATCATTCAATTGATCAAGAGGTAACAGTAAAGACATTTATACTTTCACCAAGGATTTCTATTTCAAATAAATGCCGTTGTTTTGAACTTTCTATCAATCAAAGAATCCTGAAAAAATGATCAATTTCCACAAATATATTAAATAGCACAACTGTTTTCAATAGTGAAAATAATATGTAATAAAAATGTATCTGGCATGTTTCCGATTTCTTAAGGATCATGAAGGAGTGACACTGAAGAGTAATGACGCTGAAAATTCAGCTTTACCATCACAGGAATGAATTACATTTTAAAATATATTCAAATAGAAATGATACGACTTTTAAATTATAATCATAATTCACAATTATATTGTTTTACTGTATTTTTGATCAAATAAAAGCAGCCTTGCAAAACTAAATCAATGAGGACCATAATAAGGTTAAATTATCAAGGATTAAAGTCAATTCGAAGCTTATGCGGAATGAGCAGCATCTCTAAGAGAGTTGTAAAGGAAATTCACAAGAGTTTCTTGAAAGATGTACTAAATGAGAACTGTGTGGTAGGAATGTGTGGCTGACTAGCTCTTTAATCAGTTTCAGCGTTAATTACCTCACAGATGCCATGGGGATAAGACATTGGGCCCAGCAGTAATGAACAAGGGATCGATATCCACAGAGGAGTGACGCTTTACTCCACCCTGGCGATGTCTAGCCAGCAGTTCTCCACTCAGCAGTCAGCACTCTGTGACCACTAAGACGACAACAACCTTTTGGGCCCTATTTTTATGATCTAAAACGCAAGTGGCAAGCACAAAGCGCAAGTAACATTGTGGGCGGATCTCGGCGCTGTTGCTATTTAACCGGCGGGATAAATGACTTTTGCGCCCGACGCAAGTTTAAAAGGGGTTGGTCTGAAGTAGCTTCATTTTTCATAGGTGTGGTTTGGGCGTAATGGGAAACAAACCAATAAGAGTGTCATATCACATTCCCTTTAAGAGCATGATGAACGAGGTGCACTTGTTCCATGGCGCAATACTATTATAACGGCGCATTTACCAGGCGCGCTTCAGAATCGCTTCACAGCCGAGGAGATCGATGTTCTCGTCAGGGCCGTTAAAGAAAGAGAAGTGACATTGGGGATGGGACAAAACCGCCCATTTATTTCATTTATTTGATTCATTCCTTATTTTATGTTGTGCTTTAAAGCTGTGACAAAAATGAAGTTTGATATTAATGTATCCTAGTTAAAAAAAGCTATGAATAAGATGAGTGTGTGTGTGCGCGCGCAAAAGCAGGAACTTTATTCTTGGTTTTGGGTTATTATCCGCCCTGAGCAATTTTGTGGTTCATATGAGTCACCAATTTTCATGGGCCAATAAGCAGCCTATTCTTGTTGTCAACACAGCTTGGATAACTTTCTCTTCTCAAGACAAAATATGACTAAAAGGGTGTGGGGTAACAATCCTTCATCAGGGGTTTGCAGTGGCACCATCACCTGTGGCAGGGCTTGGACTACCGTATCCAGCAGCGCTCTCATTCCCGTGGCCATCTTTAACAGCTTTAACACTGTCAGAGAGAGAGAGAGAGAGAAAGTTACAGAGAGTTCAACAAGGCAGCTCAGTGAGTGTGTGCATGTCTACAATGCTACAATCATTTCAGAAGAAGAAAAACAAAAAGGCTGATAACAGACATGGACCCCCCCCCCCACCTTGGTTTAATTCTAGCCTAAACGGCTAATGAGGAGAGAAGGAAAAGGTCAGGGCTAAAATTAAACCCTCACACTGCCGCCCTCTCCCTGTACAAATGTAGAGTGATGGCACACTGGCTCAGTGATGGCTGTGGACAACAGCAGGATTAAATACCAGATTAAACTCTAGACAAACAGATCAATCCTCAATACAGCATCACTGACCTGTGCAAAATACCATTTTGGTATGATGGAGTTGATATTTTTAAGGCTTGTATTGGGTAACGAGGCAAACGGAAGAATCATTGGCTATTAAGGACAACACATGGTCCACTGATCAGGTATTAGAGGGAAATGGGGGGAGAGAAACGACTGATTTGAGGAGACAAATAGAATTTGGCACTGGAGATAAGAAATTTAACCACATTTTGTAACAATATTCTGTACATGAAGTGAGTTCATTTGTGTTTCAGGCTGGTGTGGTGTTTCATTTGTGTTTTCACGCTCTGAGAAAAGAAATAAGGCAATTTGATCTGATCTGCAGAACAATATAGACGAAATAAATATATGTTTACCATTTATTAAGGTAAAAGATTAAGGGACACAATAAAACAAATTAGTTCAAATCAAGTTCAAATCCAGCTCGCAACATATTAGTCTCATTACTACTTTCACTCCCCATCATTTACTGTTCCCTTGCTACTTGCCAATCAATAAAAGTGATAAAGGGCTAGAAGTAATTGAATACAGATGAAAGTCAGATAAATGGCTGTGGTGTTTGACAATAAGCACTTGTGGAGATTTCACTGGAATGGATGAGTGATGAGCGATTCAAGGATTTCAGTCTTATCTGAACACAAGCTGATGTGGGTTAGAGGAATATTATTCTTATATCTTACTTTAAGAGCAAGAGGTTCTGAGTTATTACTTGCTTGATATGATATTTAAACAAAACAATCATATATATATATATATATATATATATATATATATATATATGAAGAGTTCAGATGCAAAAGCCTCTAAGTGCCATTTGAAATTTTCTTCCAGAATGATAATTTTTTATCAAGCTTGTATATTTAAGTTCAGTGATTTCACTTAAATGGCAATGATAATTACCTATTAATTGTTATTTAAGTGAAATTACTGAACTTAAATATACAAGTTTAAGAAGAAAATTTCAAATGGCATTTAGAGGCTTTTGCATCTGAACTCTTCATATATATATATTCAAATGTGTAGGAACATACTATATATTGTTGGATTGGTCAAACCATCAAACAGGTAAGGTAATTCAGATTGGAAGAAAAAGCTTATGTATTCAGCAAACATGAGGAAAGATTATCCCATAAATCACATATTTTAAGGGCTCTAAGAGTTTAATGACATTTTTAAGGGGCTGAAATCAGCAGCTATGATGAGTGGTGTTACACAGAGGTCAGCGTCTTGTGTTTGTGTGACTAACCACGTGCGATGCGTAGGACCCTCATGATGCGTATGATGGTGGGGTTGATGGGCAGAGCTGCACTGATCTCAATCTCCTCCAGTATGATGCCCATGACTGACAGCAGCACTATAGCTAAATCCAGCTGGTTCCACCTGCACACATACATAAGGGACCGATTTGCTTAGTTATCCAAAACATCAACTTTCATGCATTTTGAATCCAACCTTTCTGTCTAGTTCAGTTTCAGATTTTAATTTCAAAGATCGGTCTGATCAAACAGTTGGCATGGGACCCGAATTGTTGCTGGGGACCACTTGATAACACTCAATTAGGGAGTATTAAGGCCCCACTCCAGCATAGGTGACCTCATTCACTAATGTAGAACAAGGGACAGCTCATTTTTACACTACAGCAAAAATCACAGTTTCCCACATCTGCGGTGCTGGAACCAGCCGTGGCACACCTGTCTGCGCACACCCCTCTGCCACCATCTCGTAATTGTGACCTAGTTAAGAGGCACGGAGAGCTACGACAATAAATAATGGCTTGTTGAATGCTTTCTAGTGTCAGACCCAAATATGCGTGAATAAAAAAGACAAAGTGTGTTGCGGCGTGAGACTGTGTTTTTTTTATCTTTTAAATGGGTCAAAACCATATATTCTAATAAAGCTACAAAATGCCGAGATGTTTAGACCCTGTGCTTTCTCAATGCACCTTATCACATGACAGTATTAGTTTATGACAAGCCAGAGGAACCGCTCTTGTAGTCTGCCTAATGATAAATAGAAGTTCTATTATGTAAACAAACACAGGAGAGAGATTTCATTAAACCCTCGAGACAAATAACCATGTTCACTCTCGCACTAACTGTAGTCAGGTGCGTTTTGTCCTATTAACACCACGCAGGGCTAATCTAATTTCTATCTGCGTCATAAATGCAACATCAGAAGCAAAATTTTGCCAATAGCACTCCCTCCAGTGACTCCAGAAAACAAAATAAGAGGGTTCGGTGAGGAACATCAGATGAATTCATTAAATCAATTAGCGATCGTAGGTGAGAAAACGTGAGGAGATGAAAGGTGAGGAGGGGAATGAACTGAATACCTGTCTTTGAAGAAACGTCGGAAGCCAAACGCGATGAGCTTCAGGACAGCCTCCAGCACAAAGGTGCTGGTGAAGAAATAATTACAGTACTTGAGAGTGATCTCCAGAGACTGGGGGGAAGGAAACATACAGACGGAGAGGAAGCCAGAGAGACAGAGGAAAAGAGAACAAGAGAGGTGTGAATGATTAAAAGACTTTCGCCTCAGGTTCATAAAGTCATTTTTACATTAGCTATATAACAAGATCATGTATTCTATGAATGTCTGTGTAAAGCCCAAAAAAATGGATACAAGTCACATGCATTTATGCAATGGTACTGCATGTGTTTTTCTCAAATAAATGGACATTTCTGAATTGTGAATAAAAATGTCTCATGAAATCAATAACAATAAGAAGGCAAGCGATATACTGTAAAGCCAAATCAGCAATGATGGCTTTAATGATAACTACACAATATATTAGAAAATAAAAACAAAATAATAATAAAGATTATTTAGAGGATGAGGCCTGCATTTTATCTTACATGAGGCTGGCTGTAGTGCTCCAGTGACATAGTCACAACATTCACACAGATGATGAAGGTGATGAAGATGTCCAGGTAGTGACTGGTGCACAGAGTGTGGATCATCAGTCGCACATGACTGTAACTGGCATAATAGGGCAACTTCTGGGCCTCTGAGAGAAATGAGTAGATTAGTTTAAATTGAGTAAGCACGCTTTTTGACAACAAATATTTAAAGTGTGCATTTTCAACAAATGGAATTCAAACAAGTTTCATTACTACTCCTTCGTCTGCCACTGGCCGGTCAAACATATAGTTCCGCCCCCAAACATATGCCATTAGTTAAACAAAGAGACATTTTTGATAGCACTACAGAGCCACAGTGCTTACATTTTTTTTTTTTTTTTTGGGAAATCAATCGACTAAAGGATTCATTTGAGTTGTCTCTGCACGTTAATTGGCAAAGGAGAATATTTTACCACAACAAATGAAAAGGCTACTCTCTGGTCCATAAACTAGATTTTTTTTTCTGCAGAGGAAAACTGCATGACAGAACACACCTCTCCATCTGGCTAACGCTATTATGATATGTCTGGAGAATTAAACTGGTTATTCAGCATTAGTGTGCAAATCAAATCATCTCTTTTCGTTTACAGTCACTATGTTACTTCATCCACCAGTCTGTTGGAACCTGTAAGGCCAGTTGGGCTGTGGTGGCCCAACATTCTTCAGCATGTCTGATATCAGTAATTGTATTTTTTTGTAACAAAATAAAATATAGATATAATAAATAGTGTTTACTAACCTAAAGAGAATTTTAAACGGAACAGTACGTAATTATTATTCCAATATTGACCCATTCAAAACATCTATTTTTCTTTTCCTTACTTCGTCTCTTTTTCTCCATGCGTCTCAGTCTCTTCTCCTCTCTCCTCTTGGCCTCTTCCACCTCCTGGTTCTGTCGGCACTTGTGGAAGTTCTCCACCACTACTCCAACAAACATGTTCAGCACGAAGAAACTGACAATCAGGAGGAAGGAGATGAAGTACAGCAGCATCCAGGGGTTGTTATTGGTTATGGGCTAAGACAGAAAGAACGGTGGATGAAAGAGTTAGGAAAATCAGAAAAAAATGGATTTTTTTTTAAAGAAAATGTGAATGGTGCTTGCCTTCTAGGTGGTTGCTAGGATGATGCTATGGATTTCAGGTGGTGTTAAGGGTGGTCACTAGAATGTTAGAGTGCTTTTGCTATGGTGTTCAAGGTTCTATGTATTTGCTAGGGCCGTGTGTCCACCAAAGCGTTTTTAGTCCGCTGAAAACGCTAGACGCTCTGCTGAAGACGCCGTGCTTTGGGCGCTTGAGAGCGTTTTGGCAGTGCAGCGTTTTTTTTCCGTTGAAACATTTCGTTGCTATGATACAGAATATCCGCAGCAGTTTGAATGTTGTGACAGTTGGTCGTTGTGTTATTAGCCCCGCCCCTCCTAGGCATTTGCTATGGTGTTCAGGGTAGCTAGGGTGTTGCTAGGGTGTTGCTAGGCACTGGCTAAGGCTTTCTTGTGGTTACTGAGGTGCTGTATGTGCTGCTAAGGATGTTCACCTGGCATCTGCCTGGTTAAAATTGTAAAGCCATTTAACAACACAAATATAATCCCACCTCTACTCAATTAGCCCTATTTTAATGAAATAAGAGCATGGTTTAAAATGCATGGCATTTTAGTCCTTGCATTTAGACAGTGCTGTCCGAATCCACTTTTACTAGTTTAACAACAGGAAAAATGGTCGGTGCGGCGCATTGTCTAAAAGGGTTGTCCCTATTTTATTCATGAATAATGGGTGTGTTTTGGGCCGTAACGTACAATAAACCAGAGTCTGATCTCCCATTCCCTTTAAAAGCCAGTTGCGCTAGCGTCATGGCAAATTTGCCTATGTCACACTTCCTACTTTTGAACACGGAGTAGGGATTCAGAACTTCCAGTCAACAGAATTTCTCGATAAGGATTTAGATTATCAGCCATGATGTCTAAACCATCAAAGGTAGACTGACCACGAGCTATGAGGCTGTGAAACTAAGGTGTTTGCTCCTATAGAAGCTATACGTTTGCAGATTTCTATGTTTAGGTACCACTATCTCAATTTATTGTATTGTTTCTATGTCATGTTGTTATGTGATGCTCATTTGTACTTAACTGTAAAGCGACCTTGAGAACTTTGAAAGGCGCTATATAAAATAAACATATTATTATTATTATAAGTTTGTATGAAATCACCATTGTTTTAAGAAAAACATGTTTTATCCACGATCTTATGAAAAAAAAAAAAACTACAATACTCACAATCCTAAGCATAGCATATATGGACATGGTTTGGCTGTGTTTTATGCGTACGAACATGTTGTGAATTATGCAGAGATTTTTGGTGAGAAGTTCTCAAATGCGAATTAATCAACAGAATTATTAATTGACCCAATGCTTTTCTTCACAAGTACCACAAAAACAACACAAGAAACTAGAACACAGAGCTGCCTAAAATTTAATTTAACAAGATAATCAACACAGCCTTGAGTATAAATCAACATGCAGACACTCATAAGCTTGGGGGAAATTGGTCAAATTATGGTAAAGTGAATTTAGGTGCAGCTTTTACTTGGTTGCTTAGCAGCAGCGTAGAGCGAAACAAAAAAGCCAAAGTCTAAATTGGCTCATTCTAAAACATGGGATGAGAAAGCACAAAGTACTTTGCACATTTCCATCTGCTTCCACACATCATCCTGCAGTGGACTCTGGTGTGACAGAGATGATGCAGTGGGGAAATTACACATGCCATTTAATCCATGAGTTTTTTTTTTATCTGCCCTGTGTTTGACTACCTAGAGATGTTGGGCTCTTCTAGTGGGAGAGAGTCTGGCTGCAGGCCTACATCTAATCATTATGTGCTGGTCCCTAACCATACTCACTGCTTTTTGAATTGAGGACTTTTGAAAATTATTGCTTTTTAGCTTCAGAGCCAAAAGCCTGTTAGTATTCATGAAGCTGATTGTGTGTATTCAGGATTAAATATTCACTGTTGAGCGCTTATTCCTTAAACCTCTTTATTTTAGTTGAAAGAAATTGACTTTTGTTTGGTTCAGAAATGTTTTAACACTCAATAAGTACCTAATTCTGAAAATAAATGACATTTTATAACTTGTTAAAGCTTACTTGTAGTATCTTGGCTACATAGTTTTTAGGCAACCAAGCTAGTTTAGTAATTTGCATTTATATTTAGCTTTAATATATTTAAATAATTTTATTTTAGAACAATAAATACAATTAATCAATTCTCTACAATTAAATTATTATCATCATTGTAAAGGTATAATAGTGTATATATGATCACTGTGATATAAATATGCAAATTTATGACAAAGTCCACCATTTGCATTAACCCTGTCAGTATTATCAGGATGGCAGGATGGGAACATCAGCGAACATGTTACATGGGAACATTACCTGCTGGTCCACTGCCACTGCATCCAGACCATGATACATGATATTGACCCAGCCGTCCTTCGATGCCAGCACAAACAGGGACATCAGAGCCTGTAAAAACAAACACATGCATATGAGCACATACAAGGACAAATGGAAGTTCTGTATGGAGATGGATGGAACAACAAGCCGGACAAGTAAAGATAGATGGAGGCTGAACAGACAAATAAGGTGCAAGGACAGATAAGCAAACCACATGTAATGCAAAAAAAAAAAAAAAAAAAAAAGACAGGTCATTCTGATAAAGATGCACACACAGAAATAAAGTTAGATCAAACGAAGCAACACATTAAGTTGCTCAGAATCGTCATGTAATTTGATAAGCCCAGTCAGAGAATAAACTAACCTGCCCCAAGTTGTCAAAGTTGTACTTGTGATGGACCCACTTGTAATTGGCCGAGATGCAGTCAGACCTGTTGGTGATGTTCTTGACATCCAGGCCCAAGCAGTAGTAGAACTTGCCTTTGAAAAGCTATTGAGGCAAAAGAAATGGCACACACTTCATGTCACTCAATGCCACACATCTCAAGCATCTTTTTAATAAAACTGTCAGAGCACTGATATTTAAAAGAAAAAAAAGTGTGTTATGAAAGAAGACCAGCAGAAAATAGTAAAACATTCTCAATAAAAAAATAACAAGATATAGCACTAAAAAGAAATGTGAACAAACAATGAACAAAAAAATTAAAAGAAACAGAAAGCTAAGGTTTAAAGACAGAAAGTCTATTTCAGATAGTGAGATTCAGCAGAAAAAAAGACAAAAGGCATTGGGAAACCCTGGGGTATTATTTATCTTTTTTTAGATTGCACCAGTGGCAGGCTTACTTACTGTAGGTAAGATAAGACATCAACAAATACAGATATGAAATAAACAAATAATGATAATATTTTTGTTGTTGTTGTTTTTTAAAGAGGTAAGTAAAGTTATTGCATCAAGTACACCTGGCTGCAGCCAGCAGAATGGGGCGGGGCTGCATGTGTCTACTCCCTACTGTATATCTACTCTGCCTTTCAAAGGGATACATGATAGGAAATGTGTTTGCAGTCAGTGTAAGACAGAGTATAAATATCTTCCTTTGTGTTCAGCAGAAGAAAAAAAACTCATACAGGTTTGCCACAACTTGAGGATGAGTAAATGACAGAATTTACATTTTTGGGTGGAGTTTCTCTTTTTTAAAGCAAGTCAGTCAACAATAAACTTTTTATTTGTACTTGTCCCGCTCAAATGAGCCAATATCTGGAAGTAAAATGATATTCTCATATCAAGTGTGCTTCTAAAAATTCATAATAATGTCAGACTGAGCTCTAAATTATTTTAGGTATATCTTGTTGCATTAGAAACCTCACTTTTACTGGAGTAATATTTTATTTGTGTTTACAATATCGACCAAAAATAAACATTTGACTATTAATTTCTCTTGCCATTGTGGGATATAGGCTAATGTTGTATTGTATTTGCATTACAGTGAAGACAACACATTTCCTATCATGCCTATGAAAGATGACCTGTAAGTATGGGGCGGAGTGACACGTTTAGCCCCACCCTGTTCTGCTGGCTTCATCCTGGTCCTTCTCTATTGCACTGGTAAAGGTTTTTTTTTTTTTTTTTTATTCCACATGCAAAGGATCCCCAGTTCAAAGCCTGGATTATCTGAATTATATATGGTTTACTTAAAAAAAAATAATAATATATATATATATATATATATATATGAAGAGTTCAGATGCAAAAGCCTCTAAATGCCATTTGAAATTTTCTTCTTTAACGATGATTTTTATCAAACTTGTATATTTAAGTTCAGTAATTTATTTAAGTGAAATTACTGAACTTAAATATACAAGTTTGATAAAAATCATCATTAAAGAAGAAAATTTCAAATGTCATTTAGAGGCTTTTGCATCTGAACTCTTCATATATATATATATATATATATATATATATATATTTTTTTTTTTTTTTTTTTTCATTCAAAGATTTAAGTTTTTAAATGTTTTAGAAAGAAGGCTCTTTTGCTCACCAGAGCTGCATTTATCTAAACAAAAATACAGAAAAAAGCAGCCATTTTCAGTAACCATTACTCCAGTCTTCAGAATGACATAATCCTTCAGAAATCATTCTAATAAGCTGATTTGCTGCTCAAACATTTTTGCTGAAACTTTTTTATTACCAATGTTGAAAACAATTGTGCTGTTTAATATTTTTGTGGAAACAGTAATACATTTTATTCTTTACCTGGACTCCCAGGATGCCAAAGATGATAAAAAAGGCACAGCAGATGAGAACTATGTTTCCTATAGGTTTCAGAGAAGTGATCAAAGTCTCCACAACCAGTTTGAGGCCAGGAGCTCGACTGATAACCCTGTCACAAGGGAAAACAACAACAAAAGAAAACCATTTAGCATTTGCAGAGTTATAAACTAAGCATACATTGGACAACACCACAAAAAATGCTTGCAATTACTTGCTGTACCTGAGGGGACGCAGTGTGCGCAGAAGCCTGAGAACCCTGAGCACTCCCAGGATCTTAGCCCCACCCGCCATTGACACAACAATGTCAATCAAAGATACGAACACCAGGAAACCATCCAAAACGTTCCAGCTGCTGCGCAAGTATGCCTGCTCTCCAATATACAAACCCATAGACACCACCTACAATAAACAAAGACCCAATGTTTGAAATGGTCAGCATAAAAGATGAAGTTGTCGGGTACAGTTGATTTTTGTTTTCATTGTACATCATTGGTGTTCTGGTGTGACACTGTATGTTCCTTTTAATGTAATAGCCAGTTCTGATCCTCTAATCTGATTCTGAATCTGTTTCTGATCCTTACTAGTGTGTCTTTGCTGGAATTGGCTGAAATAATTATTAAAGTGGGGAAACAGAGACCCTAACAGCAAAGTTCAAGTTTGTGATCTCCAGTGAAGCAAAACCAACTGTTCTAACTGTAGCCCTAAAATAGTGCTTCCTGTAGAGCTGATTTTACAACTTAACTGAGCTCTGCACAAGTACATTTAAAATCCACTATTATGTCAGCGGTGAGATGCAGATGTAGTTAAAGGGATACTCCACTTTATTTTGGAAATAGGCTTATTTTACAACTCCCAGAGTTAAACAGTTGAGTTTTACCATTTTCGAATGTATTCAGCCAATTTTCTGATATTTAGAAGAATATCAGTAACCAGACAGTTTCTGGTCTCATTGACTTCCATAGTATTTTCCTACTATGGAAGTCAATGAGAGCAGAAACTGTCTGGTTACTGATAGTCTTCTAAATATCAGAAAATTGGCTGAATGGATTCGAAAACAGTAGAACTCAACCATTTAACTCTGAGGGAGTTGGAAAATTAGCCTATTTCCAAAAAAAAATTGGAGTATCCCTTTAAGAGAACTGCTGATGGCAGTGAAATATGACTGAGAAAAAAAACATTTGTGATAAAACCCAGCAGAAAAACAATGAAAAATATTTATCTAAACACTGAAAAAGTGACTAAAATACAAAATCCAAGAAGAAAAGTCCAAAATCCTTCAAAGGTTCTATCAGCGCTACATATTTGGAACTCCTAAAGGTTCTATACAGATCCCCTTTTAAGGGTTCAATAATAAGAACAATTTAGGGTTCTTTGTAACCAGGAAAACGGTTCTATATGGAACCTTTTGGCTTCATTCATTATCATTTGTTTTGTCCTTTCCGGATTAAATATTATTGACAAACATCAAGACCCTACAAAGTATTTATGAATGCATGAGAATGATCACAAAATTCAAGATATAGGGGTTAGAAAATGTATATATCTATATCATTTTATGTAGTTCAATATCAATATCACACGAAGAGTGCCATTTCAGTTTTTCTCCTCCAAAAATCAGCATGATTAAAATGTGATATTAAGTTACTACAACAGTTTAATAAACAATAATTGAATTCTTTCTTGTCATTATAGAACCTTTTTAGCATAAAAAGGTTCTTTGGAGTGGAGTAAAGAACCCTATGCTTCATACATAGAACCCCAATGAACCTTTTCTTCTAAGAGTGATTGAAGCTCCAAGGTGACCAGAGCCTTAGGCCTCCCAGGCAGATTCTTGTGACACTAACAAGAGTGACAGGAAAGAAATACACGTGCACACACAGCAAAGAGAGCAAGAAAACAGAGAATTATGCACTTTTAAGAAATGAGATGCTATACTGCTACACATGTCTGCTCTTTCTTGGGATCAATTTGGGCTGTATTAGTCTGACAGTTTCTTTACAATACTGCCAAAAGAAGCCAATAATAAATCAGTGATGTACACCAGGCTAGTACAGTAATGTGACACTCAAGCTAGCAATTTAAGTGAAAGCAGATCTGCTTGCAGAATTCCTATTAGTCGAGTGTAGGTGGGTTGGGGAGAGTAAAATCAGCCGTTGCCCCTCAGGCTGTTATACCGGTAGGTATATTTTTGCAGTGGCTTGCAGAATCTCCCTCCCCACGGATGAACTGTAATTGTTAACTTTCTGGTCCCCGAGAGAAAGGTGGAATCATTGTTTGAGTTGTGTCTCCCACTGCACCAATGCTTTTAAGAATGTCCACAGTAAAGGATATTTGCTGCATCATCTTAAATATTGACTGCGTATAGTTAGTTGACGTGACATTTCAAACGTTTAAAACAGTATGAAATGCTATCTAACTATTGTATAATCATTAAACAGAATATATATATATACATATATATATATATTAAATGTTTATTTATTTATTTTATTCAAACTGCATGTTCTACGTTAGGTAGGCCTATATATATATATATATATATATATATACATGCATACACATACAGTATATATGCTGTATATTTACTGTATATATATATATATATATATATATATATATACATATATACTGCATGTATATATATATATATATATATATATATATATATACACACACATACTTTACAACCCAACATAGGACAAGGAGCTTAGATAAAATTAAGTAAATGAAATATTCACACAGATTCACTTACGCACAATGGTCTGGGACTAAGAAAATGTAGTCTCACTTTTGACAGGTCTATCTCTTGTTTGTTCCATTTCTTAATAATTGATTAATTTGTGTAATTGATGACCTACAAGTGCCAAGTGCTTGCAGCTGAATAGATGGGCCAGGCTGTGAGATTGACTCCATCTGAAAGAGGAAACTGGCTCTAATTAATATCATTGCTTAATTGCTTGTCATGAGAGGGCTAGCAAATGTAATACCCCACTCTCAAGAGGTCCAGAGGAGAAAGCATGAGTGAAAACTAGTGAGAATGAGAGATAGAGCGAAAGGAAAATGATTAAATGAGAGATGGATTAGAGATACACTCACACACGGTTTCATCTTCAGAAAGATATTTGGCTAATTACTCATTCAAATGACAGTCCTTAATGTTTTTTTTTTTTAACAAATTTGTGTTTGTGTATAATCTTGTTTAATATCCATCAAAGTTTAATATAATGATATATTATTCCTTCATATATGCAGTGGGGTGTAAAAGTGAATAAAAGAGCGTTTTGTGGTTGTACGTGCCCTCAGCTCGATTTTTTGTGTGATTTTAATATGCAAATGACACATTTCTGAGCGTGACTTAACAAAAATCAGCATACTTATCAAAAACCAACCCGGAAAATTGTATCTTACACATGCAATGTATCATAAGAAGTCAGGGCAGAGCACCCGGCTAACGATAAGCCTAGCTAACGTTACAGGGATATTCCAAATTTGGAGAATTAAGCTCATTTTCCACCTCCTCTTGAGTAAAACAATTGTTTGTTTTTTTGTGTTTTTTTACCGTTTAGGAAACCATTCAGCCGATCTCCAGGTCTGGCGGTACCACTTTTAACATAGCTTAACGTAATTCATTGTATGACGGCAATACTAGGGGTGCAACAGTACACGGAAGTCACGGTTCGGTTCATACATCACGGTTCGGTGCGATTTTGGTACAATGGAGTGAAAAGCAAAACAGAAATATAGAAGCTATTTTATAACTGTCTTAAGCCTAGTATTTTTTAAATAAGTTTTATTAATAAAGGCATGGAACCAGTATATTTATAGTGCACTGATAATAGTTTTCCATATAAAATAATACTACCAACACATTTGATTTTCTTGATGTGCAACTTAAAAATAAACAGATTAGTGCTCTGTTTTGAGAACAAGAAATGAAAACCAATGCAATATGATGAATGTCCAAAAGATGGAACTCTGTAACGACCACCTAGTGTTGAATAGTGTTCATAACATGTTGATATGCCTTTAACATGAGTTCTTCTGCGGCGTACGTTATTTTATGTGTGCTGTTCCTATGTGAGCGCGCACGCTCAGTGAGAGTGCTTGCGCAAAGGGGAAGACTAAATGTTGTCCTGTATGAACAAAATGATGGACTATGTTTTTATGTCTCCACAGTTCGATCGCGCCCGCGTCTCTCTCTCTCTTACACTCACACACACAGTTCGATCGCGCCCCCAAAAAAAAAAAAACTAAACAAAAAAACTCTCCGTTCTACACAATTCATGTAAATGACCCAATTTGCCAAGAAAACAGCAATTCCCACCGAAAAGTGACAAGTCTGCAGGTATGATAGCACTTTCACAGACCCAATGGCCACCAAAGTACTTTACATTTTGCCTCACATTCACCCATTCACTCACTAATTCATACGCTGACGGCGGTGTCAGCCATGCAAGGCGCCATGTAGCTCGTCAGGAGCAGCTGGGGTTAGGTGTCTTGCTCATGGACACCTCGACACTTAAACCGCCAACCTTCCGGTTAGTAGACAACCTACATGAACCACTGAGCCACTGCCGCCCAGCAGTTCTAATTGTAGATATAGTCACAGTATCTGCAACTGCAGTGAAATTATTGATCACTATACTTGTCACCATAGATCAGAGGTATGGCAGTGCATACAGGGTGAAAAAAAAAAATCAAAATATCAACACAACATATCATGCAGTGATTGTAAATATTTACCTTGAGAGTCATCTCCCCCACAAATATGGCAGTGAAAATGTAATTGGACACGGTAAGGAAAAGCCTCTCCTGCAGAAAGAGGATGCAATGCTGTGAGAATAACTGATTGTGGACAAACAAAAATCATCAGTAACTAAAACAATAGGTTAAACAACTGAATCAAAGGTCTTTGGCCTTACCAGGCTACCCTGAAGAATCTTGGGTCTCTCTAGAGCCACAGTGATGCAGTTTGAGAAGATGAAGGCCAGCACCACATAGTCAAACAGCTTATGGGCTATGATGGACTGGCACAACAACCTGAATCTGAAGAGTAAACAGGCAGGAAATAAGGAAAAGAGATATACAGAGTCAAACCAACTTTGTTCCAAAACCTGTGAGCTGTCAATACTGAATGAAAGACTGGCCTTGGAATATGGAATATAAACCAATATTTAAATCTAACATAATATATTATAATATAATATAATTAATAATAATCTACTTTTCAAAAGTCTTGTTTTTATTATTATTGTGAAATATATAATAATTTAATATAACATTTATTTTTTAATTCTATTTCAACTATGTTGGCAAAGCTTATTATTATAAAAAAATAGTTAAATTGATAACTTATGGAATCAGTGAAACTGAAATTGAAATATTTTTTAACAACATGAATGACTTTTTCATAAATTCATTTTCACATTTTTGTAAAAAAAAAAAAAAAAAAAAGGTTACCAGCAAGTGTCAGCATTTTTAAAAATCATTTTCAAATATTATATTTTGTTGTTCCAATATCTGAACATGCAATATATCAAAAGAAATAACAGCCTCTGCTTATAAAAAAATAAAAAATAAAAAAAATAAATAAAAAAATCATTTTATTCTAGCTTCATGCATTCCTTTTTTTTAAATCAACACCTGAATGTATGCAAGTTCCATAAAAAAAATAAAGAAACATTTTGAACAAAAAGCTGAGAAAATCTCGTTTTTGTTAAAGACTTTGTCTGGATTGGATTCAGAACGATGACTAAAACATAGATGGAGTACTGTAGATCGAGTGCATCAAAACTCCCAAAGCTTCACAGTCCTACACATCATCCTGGGTCGACATTCCATTTGGTAACATTAATCAGTTCTGATTTAAATGCTGTATATGTTTGATAATCGCTTTATTTTATATGTGCATGAGCAATGCTTCTATTGCGTATCTTTGACTGTGTTTTGATTGGGAGATTCTGTACTCTTTGATGCACTTTGATTCCACCCCCTAACATATAACATTGCATTTTTTATCAATCAAATGCATTCTTGCTGAAAAAAGTATACATTTCTTAAAAACTCCAATACTAGTAATAAAAATAATAAAATAAAATCTTAAAATACTGACCTCAAACTTCTGAATGGTATAGAGGTGTAATAAGATTCTCACTTCATCTGCAATCTTGGATTTATTTTTTTCATGGAGCTTGTCAAAATGTTCTCATTGTAGCTCATTAGGTGTTGGAACAGTCAAATATCTCAATTTTTCCATAGCAGAACAAACTTTGGATGGACATTCAAAGACTAGATGGTTTGGAGAAAACAGACTGACAGGCAGAGGGTGGGAATAATCAGCTCCTATCTCTCCGACACCAATCGATATCCTAATCAAGCCACCCTCTAAAGAGCTGGCAGCCCATCAGTGCTATTGATCAGGCAAGAATTGCAGAATAACTGCTGGCCCAGGAGAGAAGAAGAGGTGTGCAGGCATCTTTCCCTCTGTATTACTTAAAGAGATCAAATCAATGGCACTATAGGAAACAACCTGTGACACAAACTTCCTTTAATCTGCTTAATTTCAACCTGTTCGTGGGTGTGGAGCAACTTCTAATCTGTTTTTGTGTTATAATGAGGTCGAGCTCCATGAAAGACACCATCCAGCTGCATTCTCAAATTTAGCTTAGACTGACAACATTTGACTCTTACTTGACACAACCCATGAGTCATTTTTAAAGAGTAAGAGGGGACGAAGGTATGCAATTGCGAACAGGTTTTGCTTATGATGAGGCTAGCACAAGTGCAATAACATTAAGCCAACTGTAAGCCAAGTATCCTTATAACTTTTTTGTCAGCCAATAGTATATATATATATATATATATATATATATATATACTATATATATATATATATATATATATATATATATATATTATAGTAAGTGTTTTATTTGATTATGGCATTTATTTATTATTAATGACAAGCAGGGGCGGCTCGCCCATAGAGGGTGCTGGGGCGCCGCCCTCCCTCTGACCTGTCTGATTTTTTAATATCATTTTGAAAAATAATCTGTGTTAATTATATGCTAATAATGGTTTTACTTTGAAAAGTGTTTTGAACTCACCAGAATGATATTTGCATTCACTTTCGTTACTTTTATCATGTTGGTGTAGTAGTATAGCCAATAGGCTGTCTTCTCAGGGCGCCAGTTCGCTCAGCCCCACAGTGCTGGAATTTAAGCCAATAGTTCCCCGGTTGCTATGCAAAAAAGTTTATATTTCGCCAATCAGCGTCGTCAAATTTTATGGTTTGGGGGCGCTGAAAATATCGCCCACAGTATCAGATTAGGGGAGTGCACCGTGCACGCGCACCACGGGACATTTTTTTTTTTTACCTCAGATGAGATGGCAGCGCCAGTGACTTCGAGTGGAAATAATGTAAAGTTAGTCGTGGGAATTGACCTGTCTGTCTCTGTCACTCACTCACTCACACACACATAAACACTGTTTCACACACATTTGATATTAAAATAGTTATAGGAATATTAATACCTGTGTGTTTGCTTTGTTTTTTGATGTTTTTAAGTTCTGAGCTAGATTACTGTGTTTCATACTAGCTAAAATCAACTTTCTTCTCATACTTAAGTGTTACCCTCAAGAATGTTGTCCCACCCTCTCTTTCAGAGCCTTTTCTCTCTCTCTTTCTCTAGTATCAACACATTGTTATCCATTATCCAATTGTCAATTTGTCAAAAATATGTAGTCTACAGCTGGGGATTGATTAAACTAGATTGTTGTATTACCTATTATTTTTTGTATTACCTATATTATAATTTATCAATATTATGCGTTTGCACTTTTTCTGTCAGCACACAGAGCATAATAAACATGCAACTTGTTCATTATCATTAACTGTCAAACTGTTATTATTATTATTGTATTATTTGACCATTGGTATTGACTGGTTTAAGTTATTTTATTGGTATAAGGGCATGGCCTAAGGCCTAAAATGCACCAGAATGCAGGAAATCACATCTACTAAATTCCAAATTTGCTGGGGGGGGGGGGGGGGGTTGCCTCAGACCCCCCTCTTATTCAGCCCCCCCTCCAATATTTTTCACCAGCCGCCACTGGTGACAAGTATCGCTGCAGTATTTTTAACCACAAAAAATATAAATGCCAAATATAATAAACACAATGCCACAATCACCTGATTGGTCAATCGCATGGCAGCTAAAAAAAAGCTATACAATGTGTCCGTTTCTTGATTTGATCTTTTTCATTGGAAATGAACAGAGAACTCTTTGCATGTCATGATTACCACATAACATTTTAAACTACCTACATAAATTGTTTGTGAATAAGGTCAGTAGGTGAAACAACTACTGACAGCTCTTAAGAAGAGTGTTCATGACTATTATGTATTGAAAGAAAGTAGACAGTGAAAGGACTGACTTGTTTTGAGGAGAGAAGAGGAAGACAGACCAGTCGTCTCTGGTCTCACACCAGTCTGGTCTGTACACCTCCATCATCTTCTGGATCCGGAAACATAAACTCTGCCGACAGAAAAAGCATTTCATATATTGGCAAAGATGAGGACTGAGATTAATTCTGCAGGATTCATGGTGGGAGAACTTTCTTGGAAACGCATTAGTTAGTTGAAGCAGTTATGAAACGGAGCTTTCCAATGTTTCACGTCCCCTTGGAGCTGCCATGTTACTCTTAATTGCTTACAAAACAAGATAGTCTGGCTGTAAATTAAAATCTAAGATCCTACAGCCATCTGTTAGCGTTCCTCCTCAACAGATAATAATTGGGTGATTTTCATTGTGTAGTTGATTTTATGGACAATCTTCTTTTTACAAGGACTATACAAACTCCTCTCCAGAATTTACGGATAATCCAAAAGTACAGTATAAAAGACAACACTAATTTTTATCAAATCTCTTTGTTCTATGGAACACCAACTTCTTAATAGTTACTTCAAAATAAATAAATAAAAATAAAAGTAGCATAATTCCAGTCGTCTGAAACAATACACTACTGTTCAAAAGTTTATTTCTGTGATGGCAAAGCTGAATTTTTAGCAGAAATTACTCCAGTCTTTAGTGTCACATAACCCTTAAGAAACCATTCTAAGGACCTGTTTACACCTATTATTGGGCGATCAGATTACAAGTGGATGGGTAACACTTTACAATAAGGTTCGTTAGTTAACATTAGTTAACTACATTAGTTAATATGAACTAATAATGAATAGCACATATACAGCATTTGTTAATCTTTGTTAATGTTATTTTCAACATTTACTAATACTTGATTAAAATCTTGTTAACATTAGTTAATGCACCATGAACTAACATGAACAAACAATGAACAGCTGTATTTTCATGAACTAACATTAACAAAGATGAACAAATGCAGTAACAAATGTATTGCTCATGGTTACTGCATGTTAGTAAATACATTAACTAATGTTAACTAATGAACCTTATTGTAAAGTGCTACCAGTGGATGTCTAAACGGTTCTAAATCGGTCTAAAATGGTTCTAAAATTGTAGACATATGTGCATAAACATTATGGGAAGCAAGTTTCATTATGGGAAGCGATCTATAAATTAGATCAAAATATCTGAAAAAGCCCACATATTTACCAGCCCATAGACCCTCCTCTAAAATAAATCTAAACAAAAGTAGTTAAAAAGGACAAAAGAGACAGATTAAAACACCAGGTGTGAACCGGAATGCATCTCCCTCGTCTAGTTGTGATCCGATCCGGCAAAACACATCTTAATACCAGGCGTAAAGGGGGCCTAATATGCTGATCTAGTTAATCAAGAAACATTTCTTTATTACTGTCTCAATCTGTTACAAATCTGGGAGTAACATTTAATTCATCGTTTACATTTCAAACTCATTTAAGTTCTATTACCAAGTTTGCATACCACCTTCTCAGTATTGCCGGACTGTTTTACGTGGTCTCAGCACTTAAGATACTGGAACTCTAATTCGTGCTTTAATAACCTCTCGTCTCGACTAAATCGCTTCTTAGTGGGCTGCCTGTTAAAACAATCACTAGACTGCAATATGTTCAGAATTCTGCTGCCAGAGTCATCAATAATGTCAAGAAACCTGATCACGTTACCCCTTTGCTCTATAATATCCATTTCGCATTGAGTATCAAATTATCTTGTTGTCTTTATGGACTTGCTTCCAACTCTTTATCTAAACTTCTGCACTATTATTCACCTTCTTGCTCTCTCCGGTCATCTGATGTAAAACTGCTTACTGTACCTTTACGTTTTCATTTTTCAGTGATGGGTGGTAAATCATTCAGCAAATCTCAACTAAAAAACAATCTTTTCCCTCAGTATTTTTTTCTGTACTAATGCTTTATGCTGTGATTTTGTTATCTTCTTGTACAGTGACCTTGAGCTTGGGAAAGGCGCTTTATAAATGAAACTTATTATTATCAATGTTGAAAAAAGTTGTACAGCTTACTATTTTTGTGGAAACCGTGATGCCTTTTTTCCAGGACTCTTTGATAAATAGAAAGTTGGATAAGAACATCATTTATTTGAAATAGAAAAAAATCTATTGGATGTGTTTACTGTCACTCATGAATTACTATATGAACAGTAGTATCTTTGCTCAGAATACATATCAACATTTAAGTTGCTATTCTCCCCCAAACTCTCGTGGATTCAGAAGACTTGGAATATGACATGAATTCATTGGCAGAATCCGATCCCATTCACTTTCACTGCAAGGATAAGAGCAGCGAGGACATTTAACTTAATTTCTCCTTTTGTGGTCCACCGAATTTATAGATGAACTTACATAATCCAGCTCATCGTCCAGATCCTCCCTTTCCTTGCGTGTATTGACCTGAGGGTAGACTTCATTGATGATTTGTGGTTGGACTGATGGCGTCTTTCCATTACAGTCCTGGTGCTCTCCAACGCTTCCCAGACCCCCAGAGAAGCTCTTCTTGCGTTGCCGGGGGTGCAGAGGAGGCAGGGCTGGTCCGGGTACCTGCAGCAGCTCCGGAAGCTCCAAAGAGAGAGCACGTCGTTCTCTGCGCGGGACGAAGTGTCTAGACAGTAGGGGCGGATGCAGCGGAGGGGGTGGAGGAGACAGCAGGGACTCCTGCTCAGCGGGACGAGAGTGAGGGCTGCGAACCCGTAAACTACCTCCACCCCCCATCCCCAGGCATCTAGAAGATCGACCCAAGCTGTTCCAACTCGACCTGCGACTCCATATACCGGGTCGTGCAGGCCGTCCCCAATTGTGGTATAGAGAGCCTCGCCCCGGACACTAAGACACATAGAACACGAGTTCATAGTCAATATATGACTAATTTGGATATCAAATAAACTTCAAACAACTAATTTTGTTTAGAAAAACCCAGGTCATAGACCATTCAGAGAGTATTGGCTACTCATCACCAACTCTCTCCTAGAGTGAAAGAGTGAATGGTGGTGAGACAAGCTGGAACTAGCTGTGGATGCTGCAATAGTTATCAAACCGTTTTGAAATCCCACTGACTTGTCTGCTCTTCTCCTCCTCCCACTGTCCCACACGATTACATTTATGAACGTTTTACTAGACATGCAGCAAGCGTGTGCCAACTTATGTCCCGTCGGGTAGATCAGCATGTTACAATTAAAACGTGAGCATCTACCAGGCAGGACATCAGCTCTGACTGGATCCCTTCCTAAATAGTCCCTACCAAACATTTCCGTCTTGTTTTTATTTATTGACAAAAATGTCAATAGATTTTCATCATGAAAATCTTTATTTAGTTATCGTCTCTTTTTCATCAGTGAAAAAAACACCTTGTTGGTCAAAGAGTATTCTAATGAAAGCCATTTTCACGGTCTTCCCAATATTATGAAAAATACCATTGTATTTGAAGGATATCATTTGATGGAAATGTAAGATATTCGATGTGTTTTTTTAAAGTTTTGCCAGTGAGGTTCTGAGTCAGACAATTATTTACAGTTTTTTTTTTCTTTATTTATTTATTTTAAAACACTGTCCATCATGAATACTGAATGATTTTTTAGCAATGTAATGCAATATTTACCTAATGTCTCCTAACTAGGTGTTGTAAGCTCCATACAGTTATTTCGGGGAGAAGATGCATGTATGCACAATCTGCCACTAGGTATTATAAAGGGAAATTTGCACAGGTTCAAGTATGCATGGTTATATAAATCTGAAAAATGTTAGGATGAAATCTACGGAGCATTTTATACATTAGGCCCCTGGTGTTTGGATTGCAGTGGTAGGCTGATGCTGTAGTAGATTTATGTTTATCTGATAATGGTAGTCTACTGCATCCTCCACAACCTAACACCAAAATAGTATCATGTGATGCACTAAAGTTTTTGGTGTAACCTGGTACATAATGGGCTCTATGCACGGCGGTATTTCCGGTGAAGCATTAGGGATGCTCGATAACTTCCGCCGATCATAGAGTCCAATGCAATAGCAAGAATTTATATTGAATTTTATACTCCATGGTTATACTAATGAAACGTTAGTCACAAAAACAGATAAAACAGACACCCCTCGTTGTGTTTATGCTTCTTTTTAAAATTATATCAAATAAACATAACTGTATATAAAATTACATCTAAACGTATGTACGTTTCGTTTCAAAGACGGGAGGACAGTAAATATTGAAGACTCTGCCATAATCCCGTTTTCTCCGGTTTTCCTCCGCTTTAATCTACACAACCGGAAATAGACGAGCATCCTTGCGTCAAATGCGGAACTTATGCGTGCATATAGCCCATTCCTGGGGAATCATAAATCCTGGAGAATCTGGCTTGAACAGACAGTACATGCAAACAAGCCATGCTTTCAACTCATTCTTAGCTCATTCCTCACCATCTAGAGCCCTTATAAAAAGCCAACCTCCTCACAAGGGCTGTTATTATTTAAGCCGTTGTAAAAATAATTATGTAGTTTACAAGTTGCTCTCAGCTCTCCGAGTGCCCGCTCAATGACCCTCTGTGTGTATGCTAATATAATGCAAGCTAGACAAGTAGAGACGGCTCTCTAAGTGCTGAGTAAGTGTCTTATTAATGGTTTGCTAAATGCTAATACATGCAGAGGCGATAATTATTGCGTTCTTTGTGGTTTTTAAAGGGGTTTTGGATTGCTGGAATGGTATGAATATATAGCTTTTGTCCTCTCTGTGACTTAGACCCTGTAATGAATGGCAGGTTGACTGTAGCATACACAATGGCTCACCAACGTCGTCTGCTCCAGGCTAGCCCTGCCCAGAGAGCTCATGCTGCTCTTGCGGGAACCCAAGGAAAAGCTCTGCCTTTCAGATGGGTACAAGCCTCTGGCGTTGGGTGCAGGTGCCAAATCCAGATGCCCATTAGGGGTCAAAGTTGAAATCTTGGGATCTGCACAAACAAACAAGCCAAGACTTATTAGATCACACAAAAAAAAAAAAAAAACATCATCAGAAGGAAACCGGGCACAATACGTTGAAAAACAATTTGTTATGTGTTTGTGGTGCGGAATTAAGAAGTATATTCCACCAAACATATTCACGTTTCAAGCTTCTGTGATATCTCTAAACCCTCCTCTCATGCCAGGCGACACTGGTGGGAGCATGTAGGTTTGTCTTCTTTCTGTGGAGAGCTTCAGTGTGTACATGCATTATTCATAATGTCATGTCCTCAGATCTCACAACACCAAGATTTTCTTCACCAGAATTAATGAGACATTTGCTTCGTTCACAGTAGTCCTGGACCATCGGCCATCGAGAGCACCAAGAGAATTCCTTGTGAACTGGCAAATCATTTGGCCCGCTGCCCTGTGTGTGTTTTTGTTTTTAATTATTACTATTTTTTATCATTACCCTCCCAATGTATTGGCTATCCAATGTACCAAAGGGATAATTTCCGAATTCAGCATTCAATCATAAATTAATAATAAATAATGAATCTTCACTGGCAACGATACGACTCGGCTCACATCAGCTCAGCGCATCTGCCAAACAGTTTCTAATAGAGTAATTAATGCGAGGGAGTTGAGGAAGAGGAAATGCGGCCAAAGCTATAGAAGCTAGCAATTGTTAGCATTTGGGCAGCAACCCATTACTATCGTCAGTCAAAATACCGTATACTAAAGGACATCACTATTATCTATTGTAAAATTACATTAGTAATTTAGCAAACATGGTATAGGATAGGTAGGGAGGGAGCTAGGGCAGAGAACAGCACAAAAATATGAGTCATCACATTGATGAGTCATCATATTAATGCATAATAATTTAGGAAAATTTGTTGAACTATATTTGTATGAAAAATAGTTTTGTTAAATCATGGGTATTTAAATCATTCTAAGATGAAAAACAGCATCGATACATAGTCCTAGAGTAATAGTTTGATGAATTTTGATTTTTGCAAACAAATTACAATGAGATTTTTGTAACAAGGTTCTGTTCTGTTCAGTACTTACTAGAGAAGAAGTGACAGATACAAGAATAGAATAGCAAAAAAGTACACACACAAGGGAGTGAATATGGAATTCGCCGTTCAGAGAATATTTAATGATTTTGCAAAGCCCCAGCCTAAGGATTTAGACCAGGGGTCGGCAACCTATGGCATGTGTGAGAGAGAGTAGCAGCCTATGTGTTTCATTCAAATAAAGTACCTCATAATTTATACACATCTACATTTTGAGGTTATAAATCGTTTCTCATAGTAACACAGCTTGTTTTATTAAGGTACAAGTTATTAATAGCCTACTATCAAAGTGTGAGAATTAAACTGCTCAAGTCAATGAAAGCACATAGCTCTGATAAAACCTCTTGATAATCCATTAGTGCGACCATTAGCCATCACACAGACACAAGTTACTGACTGACAGCTTACAGCTTTTTTCCACTGTACATAATCAATGGTATCCATTTCTGAGAAATTCAAGCAAGTATATTGAGTCCTATTAAACATTCCACACACATTAAAATGACTGTGATGCATGTGGAAACTCTGTTCATGCGTAGCTAGTCACTTCATGTGTTTTATCTGATTAGATGGCGATCCAATCATGAAAAGTCCGAAAGAAAGGGCATTGCTTCAGAAATATTTACAAATTGCTTCAGAAATATTTTTTAAAAAAAAGATCTTACAATCTTCTCACCAAGGCTGCATTTAATTGATCAAAAATACAATAAAACTGTAATATTGTAAACATATTATTACAATTTAAAATAACTCTTTTCTATTTTTCAGAATCATTAGCATCTTTCAGCATCATTTTCAGTGTTATATATATGATAATGATATGATAATATGATGATTTAATGGTCAATTATTATCAATGTTGAAAACAGGTGTGCTGCTTATTATGTATTTATTAACATTTACTTGAAATAGAAAACTTTTGCAATATTATAAATGTCGTTATTGTCACTTTTGATCAATTTAATGTATCCTTGCTGAATTAATTAATTAATTAAAGCTGCGTTCTGTAACTTTTGTGTGTTCAAAATTTACAAAATTGATCAAATAAGCGTGAACATCATGAAACCATTTTCCTAAAAGTGTTTTGTATTATCCTGAATCACCACGGTACACCTATTTTAAAAGTTTATATTTGGACTAATTTAGGCTGGTATGGGTCTTACCACTGCAGTAGCCCAGTACCCATGCATGACTCGTCATAGACATAAACAGAGCAAAGTACGTAGTTCCAGCTACAATGTTCTTACATGCAGTTCTGTTTATTAACCACTAGAGTGCCAAAAATTATGGACTTAATTAATTTCTATTAAAAAAAGTCTTACTGACCCCAAACCTTTGAACAGTACAGTACTAAATGACTTGGTCTGACATTTGCAAAACACTGGACTTCAAAACACTGGAGGCTTACTGTATGGATATTCATTTAACATGTAACTGACCATAGTGCAATGTACCGGAAGTGTAAAAGACTGTTAGTTACCTATCATTTAGATCAGTGGTTCCCAAACTTTTAACAGGCATGTACCCCCCTGAGACATTATAGATCTTCCGGAGTACCCCCAACACCACCAATTGTTAACAAGTTTTTTTTGGTTTTTTTTTTGGTCAAGAATAGTGAATAGAATCATAAACATTTGATACAAATCTCATCAAAAGTCAACATATGATACAAATGTCCTGAATATAATTATTTTAAACAGATATGCACCCAATCTCACTCCCAATATGCCTAAAACACATATCCAACATCTCATTAAAGCTGTTGTTAACTTTTCACATACAGTACTGATAAGTACTGCTTTTCACATAATGATAACATTGTATATTTTCTGAACTTCTCTGCTGTACAATAATAATAAAAAAGATAACTTCAATAAATAACAGTCCCTTAGATATTTTTTCCGTGTACCCCCTGAAATCAGTCCACCTACCTCTGGGGGTACGCGTACCCCAGTTTGACAACCGTGGATTTAGATAATTTGGAAAGAAGTCTAAAACCTCGAAATAAAGTTTTCTGCTCAGAATGAACCACAATAAAAAACCACAGTATTTCCCATAAGGTTCAGAAACACACAGGAATACACAGCTGTGTTTTGATAACACTTCTTCAGTTATTCCATAGCTCAGTACCTGACAGCTGGAGTGAGTCCTTTTTCTCGGTTTCGTCTAAGTTAAAGGAGGATCTGTCATCATCTGAGTAGGAACGGTTAGCATCGCCCTGTTTCAGACAGAAAAAAACAACAAAAAAACAGGGACACAAGGTCAAATCGACATAAGAAAAAAGTAAGGTTGAGTTATGAAGCAAATACTGATTAAGTCCATTCATACAGCACAGATTTCACTTTTAACAATGGTATTCAAGTGCTGTGTGAACCATAGACAAATAAAAGATGAGTGTGAGGGGTAGAATTTCTCTTGTAAAATAACTAAACAGCCATGAGCATTTTATAATAGACATGTCATCTCGTTGCCCTCCCTCTGAAAGTCAGTTGCATTTGCTCTAGTTCCCCATTCACCCTCACAATCTAGACCATAACCTGGAGGCGCAATTCTACAGGCTCCCTGGAGAGATAACCTACTCCTGCAGACACTTGCCCGTGAAACCCTATTTATACAAGCATGCACATTGAAAATCACCAGCAAGAACAACAAAGGCCTTTGGAAAAATGCCCTAGGACAGCGGTAAGATGCAGTATTAGAGCCACGGCATGTTCCTGCTGTCATTTTGTTGCTAAACACCTGCACAAATTTGACCTTGTTAAGGAAAGTATCGCATTCACAGCCACCAGATGCTTTTCAGGAGAATGTAGTCAAATAACCTCATTGGGCGTGAAATTTTCATATTCAGCAACTAAACCTGAAAGGTATTGGACCTGTTACGTCTGGGATTGCTTTGTGCATCAACCAAAACACTCAATTACCCAGATGCCCTAAGGTGAGTACCTTACCTCAGCCTGAAATCCTTCAACTAAAATGGCCACAAGCAGATTGAACAGAACGTAGTTTCCAAAAGTCATGAGCGCGACAAAGTATAACGCTGCCAGGGGGGAGGTAGAGGCCATGCCATTATACAAAACCATGTTCCAGTCCTCTTGAGTTAGGATCTGCAGACACACACACACATGTTATCGAATACTGAAAAGAAAATCGGTTTAATAAATAAATAAATCATTCATATACAGTCACGCTCAGAATTAATGGTAAATATGATCAAAACTGGCTGTAGAAAATAAATCTGCATTGTTTATTCTTTTGAGCTTTCATTTAAAAATCTAACCTTAAATTGAAGTCAAATAATTGAAAATGGGGGGAATCACATTATGAAATAAATGTTTTTCTACAAAACACGTTGGCCATTATTTATTCATTTAATAAGAAGCCAAGAAAAAAAGTAAAATAAATAAATCTCAAATTATATATATATATATATATACACACTGTATTTATTATTATTATTTTTATTAGCATGTAATAGTCTAAAAACATTTCAACTCTGCAGAGAATACCCAGGTGTGCGTGATTAAATTGTGTTTTCACCCAGCTCCCAGTTGCCCTGTGTTCCCCATCACCTGCAGCAGTGCTTTCATAAGTAAGATGAGTTTTGAGAGCGCTACGCACCTGAAACACCGTGACAATAGCCCAAAGCAGGGAGTCGAAGTTTTTTCTGTCAGGAACCGTGTCCCCAGCCTCTGTCTTCAGGCTGAACTTACAGCCGAATATGTGCATTCCCAGAATACTGGGGAAACAAACAGACAAACAAGCTTTGAATGTTAATCTCACGTTTAGATATTCTGAAGCCGTATGTTTCCGATCAGCAGGATGTGAGATGAATGGGTCTGTCAGAGGTGAGGGGCCTATAAAAATGATATCAGTGCTATGTGAGGAGACATATGTCCTGGTTGGACAGCAGCCAAAGATGAGATCAGTCACGTTGGAGAGACGGATCACAGAATTCAGAATGCAACCCGCACCAAGCGATAAATGAGACAGAGGTGATACTATAAACATATGCATGCAGTGTTGGTGGTAAAGTGATAGACCACTTCACATTTTATTTTTAAAGGAATAAGTCAAATAATGAGTTATTTCTTAAATTTAAACCATAATATCTGAGTAATGACGGAACACCTCTCATTTATGTAAAGGCCCTTGCACACTGAGTCAGAAACTATCATATATGTTTTTTTCGTACATTTGTGATTCGGTGGCTCTGAATTGTCAAAACAACATTCAAACTGCTTGCTACGATGAAAAAAGCAGAAAATCAAAACCGATAAGATTTTTTTTATGACAAACGAAAGCTTGCAAGCGTGATTGACATATTGTGAGGTCATAATTTTTTTTTTAACGTGTAAAAATTTCGGATGCGACTTTCGAACTCAGTGTGGGTAAGTGTGGTCAACGCATTCTCATCCTTTAGCGTCATATAGAACGCTATATGACAAAAACTGCGCTTTTGGTTTCCTTTTAATCTTAGTTTTGTTGTTTTTTTGTTAATTTTATTAATTTGTTTATATGTTGATATAGCTTCTACACATTTTTATTTCAGTTTCAGTTTGAGTTATTTTAGTACATGAAGTTAAACTAAATGTTTCCTACATGTTTCAACAAGCTGAAATAAAAGTTAAAGTTTTTTACATTTCATCTCAGCGGACGTTTATTTTATTTATATTATATTTATAGTTGTAGTAAATTATAATAACACCGGTGCTGCCTTTGAGCCGCGGTGGATTTGCTCTACCATGGTTCTCATAGGTATGGTCGAAATAAACTTTGATGTTGTCTTGACAACTGGCTCCAGCCTGGTTGTTAATGGTTGTTAAAATGGCACATTTTAAGACATTACGAATGTCCGGTTTCACTTTATTTTGAGGTGTCCTTGTTACAGTGTAATTATACATTTAAGCACTCTGCCATATTAACTAACATCATGTGCTCACTATCTATATAGGGTTATGGTTAGGGTTTGGTTTAGAGTTAGTTGCTTGTAATTAATTATGCATAATTTACTGTTACTTTTATAGTAAGTACATGTAAGATGTGTAACAGAGACACTGTTAAATAAAGTGTTACATCATTTCTATGTACGTATATGAAATATAAAGTGCTTGTATGAAATACGCCTAAAATCTATAAGATGTTTAAATCAGATTTCAAAATGCTGAATTTTTTTAGTATTATATGTGTTTCTGAAAGTGAGTAAGTGAATGAATGACTGAATGCATGAGCGAGTGAGAGAGAGGGAGTGCATTAATGAGTGACTAAGTGAGTGCATGAGTGAGTGAATAAGTAAATGAGTGAATCAGAGAGTAAATGAAAGAATGAGTGAGTGAGTGAGTGAATGAATGAATGAGTGAAAAAGTGAATGAATCCCACTTTTGAGGAAAGAAAAAAATAAGCCAAATTAGCAGTGGTGGAGGAAGTACTGAATCTCAGTACTTAAGTAAAAGTACAAATACCCAGATAAATATTTACTTTAGTAAAAGTAGAAGTAACACAATGACAACCATACTTAAGTAAAAAGTAAAAAGTACTTTATTTTAAATGTACTTTAAGTATTAAAAGTAAAAGTACTTGCATAACAATTTATTATCTTAATGTCTATTTTCTAATGATTAATAAAACATTTAATTCTAACTCATTCAACCTAATAGCCTACTCCTATAATGATGTTCAATAATGATGGAAAAAAAATGTCACCATTTCTGAAACAAGCTTGCAATTAGGCAATATCATGCTTATCCTTACTATATGTTAATAACTATGTTTGGCAGTAAACGCGATTCATTTATGGTGTAATTCTGAACCTCTTGGCTTGCCCTAATCCTAACCAAACCAAACATATATTACACACGGTGTGTTTCCTATGCACGTAAAAACAAATTTTCGCGTATGAGTTGCATGATAAACACACTGCGTGTGAGACGCATTTAGTGTGACCGGGTTGATATACTGTATCTATGGCAACCAAACGTCACTGGTGAGACAAACGTGCAACGAACAGACGGTCAGATGACGTTTTGGCAGGGGAAAAACTGATCAGAAAATGTAATGAAAATGTAACAGAAGTTGTAGAAATGTAGTAGAGTAGAAAGTATAATAATTGCTGCAAAATGTAACGAAGTAAAAGTAAAAAGTAGGCACTATTTATTGTACTTAAGTAAAGTAAAGATACGTGAAAAATGTACTTAAGTAAAGTAACGAAGTATTTGTACTTCGTTACATTCCACCACTGCAAATTAGAAACTTAATGTTGCTTTTCCTAAAAAGTAAAACACATACATCCCTTCAAAACACCTAGTGAAAGACAAACCTAACTTGTGTAAAACAGTTCTCTATGTGGCAGAGCAATGAAGCGGTTAATAATTGGCACAACTATGGCTTCCAGTCTGTAATGCTGATTCATTCTCTCCATTTCCTCCAAAGACGCGTCATCTGAGGCATCTGCTAACAGTTACTAAAGCCTGTTGACTGTACCCGCAGGCTGGGGACAACTATCCATTTAAGAGACATATATCAGGGCATCGTTTTCAGATGAGGGGTTATAAATTGAGATGCTGGGTGGGGGGAGGGGGTTGGGGGCGCTGAAAGCTAAACGTGAGTGGGAAAGACGGATCGGCGGGATTGGTTTATGCACTCAATCCCGCAGTAGCCTCCATCTGTCTCGATGCACTCTGCTGGAATTGCAGCGCTGCAAGGGAGAGGCGGGTGAGTCAGTGGGCACCAGGGGCCTGAGTGTTATTGTTCTGCTCTCCATCAATCTCACTCTGATCCTTATGGGCCTGTCACTCGCAGCTGAAGCTAAGGTGTGCTCTGAGCAGCCTGTGCAGCTGAGACACTCAGCCATGCAGAGCCTGGCGTGATCCAGCGGTGAGGAGGGGGCTGTTGTCAGGTGTGGGATTTTATAAACCCAGGCTGCTTTGTGTGATAAAGTGCGTGGCGTTTATTACAAACAAGTGTGAGCTCGGATAAGGTTAGAGACTACGAGTAAGCACACAGATATGAAACACATTGGGTTTCATTCACTAATAATTGCATACGAGACTCACTGGAATGCAATTACGAAGCCCGACCCACCTGAATATGAAGATAAAGAGCATTAGTAACATGCAGAAGGTGGCCACATTATCCATGGTCTTCATCAGGACCACCAGCTGTCTGCGCAGAGCTGGCATGAACCGCACCAGCTTTATGACCCTCAACAATCTGAAAGTCCTCAGGACGGACAGACCCCCGTCAGACTGCCCAACGATCTCGCATACACTATACACACATACACACAAACAAAAAAGCATTGATTCAATTGTATAAAAGGGTGTTTCTTTAACTTCAAGTACTTTTGTGAAATTTTGTCAATTGTCTGTTGTTAGTAATGTTAGCGATATGAAGCACAGCTCACACTTTAGTTACTTTCAAACCAAGCAGGTTTCTGTTGGTCAACGCAGTGAACTCGTTGAGATATCTGCATGGGGAAATCTTTTGTCTTCATGATTTGTGATCGTTAGTCATCATCATCATATACTTTCAATCTTAATATTGTAATAATATATTCATATTTTAATTTTAAAACTATGACGATATTTTTTCTGGCTTTCTATTGTAGTTTCATTTGAACTGTACCAAATTATTTTGCGAATAAAGTTTTTGCTAAAGTGTTGGTTTACCAAGAAGGTAAACAATAGTGTCAGTAATTTAGTTTGAGATGAAACGTGCAAAGAAAAAAAAAACTAGGTTAATATCACAATTTTATTTGAGTTATTGTCAGCCAAACTCTTATTTTGTAAAAATAATATGCAAAATGTGTGCATTTATGATGCATAAAATGCTAGCTTTGAAATAAGCCTTAACAAAACAAAGGAATGAGTCATTTAAACAAAATCATTTCCACCATTGAATGCTACATTGTTTTGAGAAGCATTTAATTACTTTAACTCCAGTTAACTTTATACATTTATAGACTGTTGGACATTGATAGTTCACAAATTAAATAGTCTAGTGAGTGTGAGAAAAATGTATCAACAGAGTTTATTTGCTAAATTTCTACAGGACCAAATGAATTACCACATTTGAAGAAACACCCATATAACAGTATCATATATATATATTATTTAAAATGTAATAAATTATTACAATAAAAAAATGGATTACATCCACAATGTGATTTTAAAAGTAAAGATTAAAAGTAAACCCATTTACCTGATGATCACAATAATGCCATCAAAGATGTTATAGGGATTTCTCAGATATGAAAAGAAGCCAAAGGCAGTGAGTTTGAGAATCATCTCCAGGGTGAACATACTGGTAAACACGATGTTACAAATCTCCAGGACATCAGTCAGTTCATCAGGCTGTAGACAGAGAGAGATAGAAAGAGAGAGGACAAAAAAGGTTGGGATGGATAAAAGGAAAGGTAAATGTGGAGAGGTCATTTCAGATCACTGCATTGCTGTTCAAGAGAGGGTGTGCATTGTTGCATGGACAAGATCAGCTCATGACAGCAGGTATAAGCTCCTCGGTGAGGCTGTGACCTCTCATATGATACAAAGGTCAGAGAAAACAGAGTTTAAACCTGAACAATTCCTTGCGGAACATCAGTTAGGGAAAGTTCAGGGGTGATGAGAGTACACCGATACTGTGCATTATAAGTACTGCATATCTGCGGCTTATTCTAGCCAAGATCCACCCACTTACACAGGAGGAAACTTATTGACATGAAAACCGATTGTTTCATTATGTTTTTGATTAAGTCTCTTTAGCACACCAAGGCTGAATGCATTTGATCAAAAATACAGTAAAACAGAAATAAGCATTTTCTATTTTCAGTGTCAAATGATCCTCCAGAAATCCTTCTATTTGATGCTCAAGAAACTATTATTATTAGCATTGAAAACAGATGCTTAATACAGTCCTGCTCATTATATTTGTAAAATTCATGATACTTTTTTTTCAGGATTCAGGATCAAGCGTACCCTTTCAACAATTATTTGAAATATAAATATTTGGTAACATTTTAACTGCAAAAAGTTTTTTTTTTTTTTTTTATTACTACTACTGTAATATACACACTAACCTTGCATCATGTCCTCTTAACCCAACCTAAACCTAAGCTTTGTTTCCAGGCAGACAGTGTGCTCATGTACAGTATATTGTGTAAAGCCAGTCATTCAGTTTGTAGCTGGTAAGTTAAGCCAGAGCTCCAAGCATCAGATTGTGGGTGGTCTGTCGAATGCTGAGACTAGTGTAAGATCTACTGCGCTTAGAAAGGGATCAACAGACCACCCCGATCTGCTTGAATACACGCTTGTAATCTGACATCACATGAATCCATTACACCTTATCTGTGTATGTTCATGTGCACGAGCGAGAGGGCGACCGAATTCCAGGGGAGCGAGAGCAAATTCTGATTTGAGAACACTTCATTCGATGTCCCTTTTGTTCCTTTTTTCCTCCATTCTTTTATTGATCAATATCTTCCCATTGATGAGTTAAGGCAGAGAAAACACAACTGAAGGACGAATGAAAACCAAACCACAGGCAGCTCCAGGGAGATGCCATTTAGAAAAATTGAATATTGACACAGCTATTAGGAGTAATAACGGCGAAACAATACGATAAAATACACCCATAGCTTCTCCTTCTTCCTCAAGCTGTAAGGTAAACTTCTCTAATCAATCCATCAGCAGATTGTCTCATTATCTAAGCTATTTACTGTAGATAGTAAACTACTTAAAAGAGCAGTTACAGTTAGTGATTTTTTGTAAACCATGAATAAATTGTCACCAGAAACAGAAAGATCACTGAAATCTTGAGAAATCCTACCTACACTCTTAAAAATAAACATTCCAAAAGAGGGCTTTGGGTTTAGGGTTGAAAAAAAAGGGTGAGATTTTGGAGACCGGGGGGTTAGTTTAATGACTAATCTCTATATCCAAATTTGGGAACTTCCCTGCTATATATATGTTAAAGACATTATTTCAAATGGCACAAATTCGCTTTAACAAATTCAGTGGTTCAAATTCGACATTTGACTGACAAATAGACAAATTCGACATTTCCTGGAGCAGCAGGAATATCAGTAGATTGCCGATTGCTAATCTCCATAGCTGTTAGCAAGCCAACTTTATGCCAGTATTTCACCGGGTATCACTCAGTGTAAAGGTCCACTGAGTCCGAAATCTGTGTCTGAAATTTCCGCACGTTAAAAAAAATAAAATACAACCTCACGTTGTGTCAATCACGCTTGCACACTGCCACCGAAACTTTCATCTGTCATTAAAAAAAAGTCAGATCAGGTTCGCTTTCAGCGTTTTTCGCATCCGTACCAAGCAGTTTGAATGTTGTTTGAATAGTGTTTTGACAATTCGGAACCATCGAATCACGAACAAGAAAAAACGCAAACAAACATTTCGAACTCAGTGTGCAAGCGCCTTAAATGTTTTACGTTCATATTCTGAGTCCACTTGCCTGTTCCTATATTTAGTATAGACTACATCCCCAATAAGGTGGGAGGTTTTTTTTTATTTATTATTATTATTAAGCATTAAGTGTCCTGACCGCAAAGGAATCCTGGAGAATGACGTATTGAGGGAAACTAGTTCTGCAGCATATCAGTTAAGAAAACCAAACAACCGAGAGAAAAAAGTCTGTCTATTACCTCAGATTTAACGTTTTATCTATACATCAGCATCAGGGAATAATATTATAATCTCGTTCACAGTAGAGAAAGCTGCTTGCATGTGCAAAACTAACTGTGAAGACGTAAATGTAAACACAGCGTTTATGAGTTTATCATCTTTTCCATATACTAGCCCTGATCGTCATCATCACAAATATTTACCGCTCACTCCATTTTTGTAAATCTGTTTTTATCAATGAATGACTCTCTCTCTATATATAGTTTCCTTCGTCAACAGCTGCTTGCACCCCCTGCTGGTGAGGTCGAGTAACTAACAGCTATGGAGATTATCAATCGGCAATCTACTGATATTCCTGCCGTTCCCGGATGTGAAATGTTGAATTTTCTGTCGAATTTGAACCACTGAATTTGTGAAAGCGAATTTGTAAAGCGAAATAAAATGGACCGAAAAAATTGCCTGTCGAATATTATAGGTCGTATTTTTAAACAGAATTAATATTTAGGAAACAATGCATATTTTTTCAAGTAGTGCAACTCAACAAGACTTTTTGATTCAAAAACATCAGATACCGTTTGCAGAAGACTCATCTGGTAGCACTGCTTAAAGCACCTTTATTTACATTTACTCATTAAGCACACACTTTTATCCTAAGCAACTTCCACTGCATTCAAACTATACATATTTTCAGTCGATTCATTTACTGAGAATCAAACCTTGGTGTTGCCATACTCAGCTGCTTGAGCTACAGGAATCTTTGAATGTATTTGATAGTGCAGACCAAAAGCATTGACGGTCATTCAATCAACAGTTGTGCGTGAGCACAAACACGCACAAGCTGCCCACACACATGTAAATATTGTGATCTTAACCATCCTTTTTGAGAGACAGGTTAAAACATAATGAGTCACAGCCGATGATGTCACCACACGTGATCTTGTTTAACCATATCAGGTCGATTTGAACACAAACTCATGAGGAAAGACCTGTTGAACAGATACTGTGTTTATATGTGAATGTGCACACAGGGGCTTCTCTGTCTGGCCTGCGTGGGCTGCATTTACATGATGTTTCACGTGTTAAAAATGCTGCGTAATAGAAGCCAATGGTGACTATCTCATTTTCTCTTTCTATATCCGTCTTTCCCCGCTTGTTGATATTTTTAGAGCCCACAGAGAGGAGAAAACAGGCCCTACTGCAGGCAAGGCAGCAAAGACATGAGGGGGTGGAGGAGAGAGAGAGAGAGAGAGAGAGAGAGAGAGAGAGAGAGAGAGCAAGAGAGTGTACATGAGTAGTAGTAGCTTTCTACGTCTTCCAAAGATAATTAACTGCACTTTCAAGGCAAGGAAAAATCCAACAAGACTCCAAAGGCCGTTCCACACGCTCTCATTACTTTGAATGGCAGGCCCTGTGAAGACTCTATCAGCACCGCAGAAAGAGCCAGCTATTACAGTAATGTGTGACATGATAAGGTTGAACACTTCTTTAGACTGGGTTCATTTTGTGAACTGACTGCACCGCGGGTGAAATTACCTGGTTATGGTGCTCGATGCCCATGCTGATTGTATTGATGAGGATGGCGATCATAATCCCTCTGTTGAAGTACTTGCTTTCGACGATACCCCAAAGCTTCACTCTCATTTCATCCCAGATGTCTTTACATTTCCCGAAACAGGTGCGTTCACTCTTCAGTGTGTCTTCATCCCCCCGCTCATCCAAGTGGTTGTCATCCCTGTCGGTCTCATCGAGCGCACTCTCCACTTCCTCCCCATTGGCCGAATGCCCCGTCGACCCCTCCCCCTCCTTGAGTGACGGGGCTGCAGCACACTGTGGACACTCCTCTGGGTTTGGGGTGATGGAGAGGGAGATGGCATTTTCTAGAGTTTGGGAGCTGTGGTCCAACTTGGTTTCGTGAATACAGTGAGGCTCTATTAGTCAGAAGAAAAATTAAAAAAAAAAATTGTTTTACATTTTCATACAAAACAATAAAAACTTTGCCCGTCAGTTTCTTGGATAACTGCCATGATACTGCTTTGGATTGAAATATCATTGGACCATTAAAGCAACTTGCTCTTTGCTTTTATAACTTTATTATAAAAGCAGCTGAAGAGGCACCATTTCCGCAAGCACTTAATGACCTCACACTCTTAAACCAATGTGCTTACGCACACACACACCACCACCAACAACAACAATAACTTAATTTATCCTCTTCTAGCTGGTTTCCTAATCTAGTTGTCAAATAAACCTGGCATTGTGTACTACAGCAATTGTTGGCTCTTTGATGAGTGCTTTGTTCTTCTCTGTTAGTCACTTTGGATAAAAAGGGTCTGCTAAATGCAGAAATGTATGTAAATAAATTGCTATTAGGTTTGGAGTTTCAAGGAAGCTACTGTAATTTGAAACTTGGCCAGGCTTTAAGCTTGTGCAAGTGGCTAAGTACACTGAATCAAATGACAAATAACTCTCTGATAATGTAATTTATTATTTTAGATAATTATTGGAGTTTTATATGAATTAATGCTAATAAAAAGCACCAAAATGCTGTTTAAACATCCTAATTTACTATAACTAAATACAAAAACAATGAATTTTAAATGAATAAATTAAATATTTAAAAAAAAAATTACATTAAATTGCTATGCAGTGATTTCTTTTTTGTTCCATCTTTTGAACCATCCAAATGAACCAGTTCACAAGAATGAATCATAATTTCCAATGCTACGTATGAATGAGAGATGGCAACTTAAAATGAACCAGTTCACTAGAATGAATCAGAATTTTTGAAGCCAAATACAAGTGATAGAAGATAGATAGGATGAATCAGATCTTCCAATGGCAAGTTTAAGACAAAAACCAGTTTACTAGAATGAATGAATGATGTGTGTTGAAAAGTCTGATTCATTCCATAAAAGCATTTTAACACTTCACATGAGCGAAAGAGGAGAGTTTATGATGTCTGATTTCACTAGAACAAGAATTAATCACATTTTTTAACATTACAAATGAGCGAGAGAGGGCTTTTTGTATGAAAGCTTCCTACTATTTTGAAAACCATTGACCTAATGTCAGGCTATTTATTTTTAGTTATTAATTTTAGTTATCTACTCCCCAACACTGTTAGTCATAGCATTTTTCTGCCTCCAACTCTCTCCTTACTCACTCTGAGCTGAACGGCAGTGATGTCTTTCTCCACCATTCACATTAGCTCCTCCCCCTGTCGATCCAGCACCTCCTTTGCCACGCCCCTTCCCTCCCCCAGGAGGAGGGGCTTTGCCACGGAGCATATAGTAAAGGGCGGCTGAGCGACGGCGGGCCTTGCGTAGGATGTGGCAGACAAGCTGGAAGAGTTCCTCGTAACAGTTTCCGGGCTCAACAAGTGAAGCCAGTGTGCTGGAGGATAGGTAGCGAGCACGTTGCTCTTGCATCAGCTGGTGCTCTCGCTGTTTGGTCTCTGAAAACTGAGTGGCAATGACCACCAGGCACAGATTAATCATGAAGAAAGATCCAATCTGGAACAGGAAGAAGAGAGAGAACTTGAATATAATGAAAATGATCACTCACACTTACATTGTTCTAAACCCTTAAAGGTTCAGTCACATTTACCGTTGTCCTGAAAAATTTCACAGCCAAAATCCAGCCACAATGAGTTCAAGTTGATCATGCAATTTTGTTGAACAAAATAAAGCGGCTTGATTAGATTTTTCTTCCATGAATAAAAAAAAAAACAAAAAAAGTTTGAAGAACTTTCTGGTACTTGTCAATCTTTTCTGAAGGTTTTCTGATGGCTTCATTGACAACTCAACACTTTAAATCAGATTTTTTTGGATCTTGCATTCAATTTGCTGATTCAATGATCACATTCGCAGCAGTTACAATAAGTGAGTTGGAACCTGAGAACTGAATCAATCTGATTTTTGAACAAATCATTCAGACTAATTGTGCAAACCGGATCAATCGATTCAAAAAGTTTGACTTACCAAATTCAATCATAGACTTTAGTGCTTCTCTCAAGGATTGCTAATGCAGATTTTTACACTAAACTTAACTTTTTGGGTCTCTTTTTCACACAAAACTTCAGAACTCTTGGAATAAAGAGAACAAGCCCTATAGCACCAGGCCACATTCAGTGTAATTGCTTGAAAAACTTCAGGATATTCTTTCATAATTTCTCCTTTTATGTTCAATGAAAAAAAGTAAAATGGGTTTAAAACGACAATGTTCATATCCATTTTTGGGTGAACTAAACCTTTAAATATATTTGAGTTTTTACATGGATTTAGCTGTCATTACATTACCTAAAGATCATTCTTATGCTGAATTCTGTAACCATAACTCATGTGAAGTCTCAGATGCTTCAAATATCCAGATCTACATGACACCAAAACCCCTTGGAAGCTCTCTAACGCAGCCTGTGCTGCAGTGTTTGGCACTAGCAGTGGCCATACCTGTCAAGATGAGCTGCTATAAACGGACCCTATGTTTGAAGAAGTCAGCAGACGCCCAAACAAGAGACAAGAGTTTTGTTGTGTGTGCGCCTGTACCGCTCTGGCTTTGATATGCTATAATTATCAGGCTCTTTCATAGCAGAAAAACCTCCAAATATCTCCTAGTCCTCACAGAGAAGGGCTAGATCCCTCTGCCAAGGTGAAACGGATTAGAATCGGGAGCCTAACATCTTAAAGACTGAGGGTGAACCAGTCTCAGACTTATCAGAAGATAGAGCCTGCTCTTATATCATTCACCGTTCATATCATTGGCATTTGTCAACACGCAAATGCACAAAGATCTTGCTCGCCTTAATGAAAGTACAGCCTGGTTGCAGCTTATGTGAAGTAGGGATCAGAGAGGACGGATGAGTTGTGAGGAGGACAGAGAAGGTGGAGAAATGAGGAGTTGGGCATATGTGTGTGTAGGGCAGCTGTGCAGATGCATCCTGCCTTCTCATCTGCTGTCCTGATTTGGGATTCTGATGTGTGACTGGACTGCTCCCAATCAACAGATTTCTATGTAGATAGACACCTTCTTTCATATCACCAATTCCACTGTACTGTTTAATGCACACACACTGCTTTTCTCTTTGATATGCTATGAACATATGTGTTCCTTTAAAGGGATAGTTTAACCAAAAATGTAATCACCCTCATGTCGTTAACTTTTTTTGTCTTCATGCGGATTTTTGAGGAATATCTACAACTAAGTTTTCCAAAAGTATCATGAGCCCAAATTGATCATAGACACCATTCCCACCAATTTTCTATATGGTCAACTTAGCTCACAATGCTTTTGGGAAATTCACCCCAGGCCAGTCTTTAATATTATGAATGAGAATGAGGACTGGGGGACAAAACAAGTAGTGATAGCTTTGTCTGAAGAATAGTTAGGACTTTAAAGCTGCAGTATGGCATTTTTTCCTCTTTGTCTCCATCTCTGTTTGAAATCTTATTATAAAAACATTATTATAAGCTTGCTTTGAATTGAGCTAAAGCAAGCAAATATTTTTGAACTTTGGCTGGTTATGTATTTTCTCAAATATGTAGATCATTTTTAACCCAAAAAAGCTATGAACTGCAGCTTTAAGTAATTATTCACTAAACATATAAACATTGGCTCTTGCTCTCCTATATAATAATAAAAACAAAATATATACAGTATATATAAAGATTAACGCTTAATTAACAGCCCACAATAAGAGAAGATTAGTCATGAACAACTTAACTTATTTGAGTTTGTTTACACCTTTAAGTCCCAAATGGTGCCTTTACAACATTGAAGACAAATCAGTGCAGTTACTTATACATTATTTTAAAACAAAAGAAAAAAAGCATCTAACATTGCTTAGAAAGACAGACAGTAGACAGAAAGTGAAAGGAAAAAGAAAGGGTCAGACATTCAGAAGGAACAAGGCAGAAGTAGAAAAGGGGTCAAAGGGGTGCTGGTTAGTGAGTCAGTTCTGTTACAGTTGGATGAAAGATGACAGGTGATGATTTATACTCTCATTTAATATTGTTCTGACAATGTAAGGGTCTGGCTGCAGGCAGGGTGACCTTAAGACTTCCTGTCCAAAAAAAAAAAAAAAATAAAAAGGACAGTTATTTCATTATTTTGCTATCAATTTGAAAATGTGAGAAGAAATTTGCCAATAGATTTATATGATATAGGTTAGGCAATAAAATAAAATATATTTTTAAAAATATTTATAAATCATATTTATTACTGAAACCCACAAGCAGCAAGCCAAAAACATTATATTTTACATTACACATAACATTTTATTCTAATCAGAGAAAATGCATTTATTCTTGTTATCAACTGAAGAGGAAAAACTGGACACAGAGATCCCAAGCAGGGTTTCCGTTGTCTGGTAATTTCCAGACATTGGCCAGGAAAAAAAAAAAAAAAAAAAGTCTGACAAAATTAAATCTCTCCAGTCAAATTGTCCGATTAAAATTGAATAATAACACAGGGTCCGAAATTGACTTTTTGGCTCACCTGCCACGGGGACTGGTAGATGAAAAAAATCCACCAGCCAAGCATATTTTTTACCGGCAAAAATAAACAGCCTTTTTGTGTCACATATACATTAATTTAAATATAGCCTATATTTAAACAGTTTTGTCATTATATTTCTGGTCTATTATTTTCCATTTTTACTTTTATTTACACACATTACACAATTTACACACGTTAAAATAATATTTTTGTGGTGGTGCCTATTAAAATAGTTCTGTACAAATTAAATGTATTAATTGTATATTTAATAAAATATATATAATAATAATAATAATAATAATATATAATGAAAAAATAGTTTTACTCTGCCTATTTTTTTACTCCATTTACTCTGACTGATCCGATCAGTAACTGAAGGACTGGAAAAATCAGTTGTTTTAACTATTCTTTAAAATGAATCAGTTCAAAGGAGTCATTATTTCGCGAATTGGACGTGTCATTTTCGGACATGTTCGCGTTGTGTGATTATCCCGGCAGGCAGCTAGGACATTGTGTCAACACAGAAAACATTTCGCTTTCGCATTTCACAAAACTTTCGCCTGGCTCCGAAGAGAAAGAGTGCCCGCACAACCGGGGCTCTCTCTGTTCATTCTTTAGTTGAGCCCTGTCATGCACAGCAGTTCGTCTACAATACTCATCGATGCAATGAGACTTTGGTTGGACAAAATTTCGCTTTGGAGCAGAAGCATCGACTCGTTATCATCGAGGGCATACAATATCGATGGTTCATGAAACTTAGAAGCGGTTCTCGAATGGAACCAGTTTTCAATTCCCATCGCCCAAACAAAACAACTCCGTCATGTCCGTAGCCATCATGCCAGATATATTATAACATTAGAAAATGCAATTTAATAAACACTTTATTACATTACTATTTTGGTTTGAACATTCACCCGCCAGTGGCGCGGATAGCCTTTTGAGATTGAGAAAATGTACCCTCATTTGGCGCTTGGCGGGTGTTAATTTCGGACCCTGCCCTAACACAATATTAATTTGTGAATAAGCCTAAAATGTATAAAGCAAAAATACACCGAAATACACTTGTGGTGTGAACGGGGCTTAAAACGGCTGTAATACAGACCTAAAAAATGAACAATTGAGTGAGATGTTTCAAATATGGCCAGGCCCAGGCAGGCTAGCCTTAAAAGCTTTTTTTGTGACACTGATTGAATCAGGAACATCTAATTTATAGATCAGTGGTTCTAATCCGCACACTCGTAGTCTACAGATTTCTTTTTCTCTCATCAAAACTGAATAGCCTATGTTCATCAGTGCTTACAGCCTATATCAAGCAGTGACAGGTTTGTGTGCATTTTATTTTGTGATCAATGTTTGAATGTTTCAAAATGTGAATGTGTGTGAAACCATAGTAAAAAACAATTGGTGTTGATTGACGCCAATCGGACGTTCATGTTTTATTTTTTCGTCTATTTGAAAGTTAGGCTAATAATCACAATTGCATTCTATACGGCCTGATTAAGTCATTTTTTAAGTTACATAGCCTGCCTCTAGTTTTCCTCAACTTTACTAATTAAGAGGCGATATTTGACCGGCATATCATCAAAATGTCCGTAAAATGAAAACAATCCATTTTCGTTTGACCGTCCCCCGTTTTATTTCTAGCGGAAACTCTGATCCCATGCCTGAATGAATTGCTCCGATGTTCAATAGAAGTGAAAGGAAGTGAATAGAGGTGCATCGGCGGGGTGCGGGCTGTGTCGGCACACTATGGCCCTCTCTCTACAGGTAGTGACTGCTAGCTGTGTGGTTGCCAGGTTACAGACAGAGCAGGGCGTCAAAGAAGTAAATAAAAGTCCTAAGGGACAGCCTGCACACACACACACACACACACACACACACACACACACACACACACACACACACACACACACAGAGTGAAAAGACGCATCTTACTCCCTCACATAGGGATTTGGCTGTTGTTTCAAGCTGTTTAGGGGGCGCCAGAGAGCTTAAAGCATCACAAACTAACATGACTTCAGTGTGATGTCTAATGTACCCAAACTTGTTAGTGACTGCCTTTTTCAAGACATGTAAAAGCTTTAAAAAAAACATGATTGTGAATAATATATATATATATATATATATATATATAAAACATGGAAATACTTTGAGATATTGTTAACCACATACCTTAATTTAGGCATTTAACAAAAAACTTTTAGAGATTCTTAAGTGAGAATTCGACGGACTATCCCATGAGCCGATACGCACACTACACAAGTTGCATAGGGCCCCGCAAATTACTCAAGACCCCCCCTTGTGTCAAAGCGCGTCAATCAAAGTTTACCACATCGATGAGAAAATTATGCAGAACTATACTTCTGGTAACGAAACAAGAGAAAAAAACACAATGAGAGTGAATTGCAGGAACAGCAATCAGGTAGACTTGTGTTCTCTCCTCTCCAAGTTTGATGTCAGAAATAAAAACAGTAAAGTTAATTTGATGTGCATCTCTCTCTAGTCTGTCTAACCCAGCTGGGCAGTGCATCTTTTGATCTGTCTGTGGGTGCTTCTCAATATCCCTCCTCGTCTCCTCGCTCCTCCGTCCTCCCTCCTATGACCCGGAAACCGATCGAGCTCAGCCATCTTGAAGGACATCTCAATTCTCTAATTGCACCGTGAGGAGTCGAGGATCGAGGAGTGAGGAGGCTTCCTGAGGAGTCATAAGCGAGGATACACAGGTGCATCCTACGCGGAACTGTTATATTGACTAAACGTGACGCACGTGCAAATTCTCCTCCCCCTTCACATCGGTCACAATCATTTTAATTTATACTTTACCTTTGCAGTTTATATAAACCACACATCTCAGATATTTCAACAGTATAGTCTATCTTTATTATTATTTATTATGAATTTATTAAATAACCAAACTTCAACATCATAAGGGCAGATCCTTTTAGCGCTGCTGATGACACTGTGGAGTGACGCTCGAGTGATCAAGTATTCCAATGGATATAAAAAAAGCTTTTATTCGATTCCTCTGTCCTCCTTTCCTTTCCTCGCTTCCTTCCCTCGCGTCCTACAGGGGGTGGAGCTGAGACGCAAGGAAAGGAAGCAAGGAAAGGAAACGAGGATGCACAAATAAGAAATGAGAAGCACCCTGTGTCTTGCCTATGGACCTTTGGTCACTTCCTGTTTTGTTAGGCAGCAAAAGACTAATAATGACTAGTCTAAATGATGTTTGCTCAGTCTCTTTATACTTCACTCAGTGTCACATTCCACCAGTCAAGGTAATGCTGGTGCATACTGGGAAAGATCACATGACAGCTTTGCAGGGTGCATGTGTCAGGGTGGCAGGGTCTCTGTCAGGAAGTGTGAGAGACTGCCGTGATGGCAGCAGGGGTCCAACCGCTACTCTGATGAGCTCTAATTAACTGCTAATGCTTTCACTCCACTGACCTACACAGGATTAGGCCCTGTCATTAGCTACACACACACGTGGAATTCACATTTACTTGCCAGTTGTTGGGCTAAAATGGATTTCGGCATCTCCAGCAGTGCCATCAGTTGTCTAACACGTATTTGAACGCAGGAAATGGGTAAGGTAAGAAAAGCACAAATAGCTACAACAAATATCAGCAGGCCTCTCCACTATCTGACCTGCAAATCTCACTCCTAAATCCATTCCCTTCCTCTTTTATTCCTTTAGTCTCCTGCTGTCTTTCAGCCTCAGATCCCTTTCCTTCTTATCCTCAGGGCATTTCTTTCTGCTCGCTCTCTTCTTTAATCTTAAGAGAAGACATTATCCGAAGCACATCTCACTGCAGGGCTGTCTCGTTCACTGCTGTTCCTCCCATTCAACAAAGAGGGCCCCGCGGTACAAGAGCTGGCTCCAACACAGCATCGTTAAACATACAGCTGAAGCAAAGATACATTCATTTTATAGTGTCCAACTATTGATTCTTCACTATGTTGTTGTTCATTGCCTAATTGATCTCTGCGGCTCCGTCAACTCCTAAATGTACTGTTTAGCTAATATCTGGATCTTTGTAACCTTCAGGCCATCAATGGGAGTCATTCAGATTCAGTTCAGTTCAGTCTGTCAATAAAAGCTGTTTGCTGACATCTCTGAGGAATGGCAGTAGTGATGTTTTTCAAGACTTTAAACTTCAGCTGCAATGCACCATATGGCAGGACTAATTTAAATGAATTTGTTCCTAAACATCTACTACCCGTTACGTGGCCTTGCATTAAAACTACTGTATTAAGTTTGAGCTACAGATGGCACTCTAAACACTAAATATGATGATTGTTTTGGAAGAAAAAGTAAATAATTAGTAGTAGGGATGCACAATATATTGGTGCCATAGTAGTTATCGGGTGATATTAGAGATTTTGTTTTATTTCTTCAGCATATTAAAATGAATATCCATTTTTAATACTGTACATTAATGTTGTGATGCCTAATTTTAAATTTAAAATGGTTGATTGCAGTTTAATTGTAATGTTTTATTTTTATTTGACAAAATTAATAATCAGCTATTAATCATCTAACATAAAATGAATCACTATATTATCAGTATCGGCCAGCATATTAATATCAGTGCTTCCCTAATTAGTAGGCTTTGTGCTGAAAGTTTCAGTGTTGTAATGTGTTAAGCTGCATTTTTGTGTCCAGGAGAGAGACATGACCTTTTTGTTCTTACCAGTGAGACCAAACATCCAGTTCACCCTCTGGCCTTGTTAAAGGTCACTAAACTTCAGGTCCTCCAAGACTACATGCCATATAAAACCACAGACTACAAGTTCTCAATAATTAGGACACATGCTTCATCTCTGAACACATGCATGCCAACATATAAAAAAACTTACGATGATGAGGAATATGAAGTAGATGAAGTTGTAGAAGGAATGAGCGTCCATGACGTAGTACATGATCTCCACCCAACCCTCTAGCGTGATCACCTGCACAGACCAGATCAGACCACATTCAGGCTCTTTATACACGTGGTAAGATTAGTCTCCGATGATCCATCACAAGTTGTTAACTGCTGTTCACTGCTGTTCTCTTTTGTCCAAATGCATGAGGATAGATTAGCATTTGCAACACACTACACATGACTTCATCGGAACTATGGCAAGCCGTTTTAGCTTTTATTCATTTCTAGGATATGAATTCTTGATATCAACAATTACATTTTCTGATATCAACAATTGAATTCTTGATATCAACAACTGAATTCTTGATATCAGAAAATGTAATTGTTGATATCAACAATTTAATTGCTGATATCTGTAAATGTATTTTCACTAGTGAAATGTCACCATAAGCTGTCATTCAAAATGAATTGTTGATATCAAGAATTTATTTTTTACAAGTAGAAATATCATTTTTGATAAATTGTCACTAGCTGAAATGTCTATTCTTGATATCAACAATTCAATTGATACTAGTAAAAATGATAAAAATGTATTGAAAATGACTGAAAATGTATTTCTGATATCAATATTATTTCAGATATCTAAAATGGCTTTCTTACTAGTAAAAATCACACTTATGAAATCAGAAATTAACATTGTAATAAGTACAAAATGAATTATTGATATCAAAAATGAACATTGTTACTAGTAGCAATTCAATTGTGGATATCAAGAATAGACATTTCAACTAGTAACAATTGAATTCTTGATATCAAAAAATAAACGTTTTCACTAGTAATAATTGCATTTCTGATATGTGAAATTGGAATTTCAACTAGTAAGAAATCAATTCTTGATATCAACAATTGGTTTTGAATGGCAGCCTATGGTTATCAACAATTGAATTCTTGATATCAAAAATGTAATTGTTGATATCAAGAATTCATATCCTGGAAATGAATAAAAGCTAAAATGGCTTGCCATATCGGAACATGAATTGGATCGCATTTACACTTATATTTAGTGCTGCTGATTTATGATAGGATCACCCAAAATTTAAAACAAATGCCATTTGGCTCCGTCTCATACCTGAAATATGACGATCCATGCGTAACCTATGTTGTCAAAACTAATCGCTCCTTTATGTGGGTTGGTGTGTCCTGTATGACAGCGGGTGTAGTACTGGTTCCAGTTCACACAGAGTCCCACTGCAGAGGCACTGCCATTGACCAGCGGCTCCGTACTCAGACCCAGGGCCTGACGGTGCAGCGCGTCCTCTTTATCTAGACAGCACTCCCGTCCGCCCTCTCTCCGAGCTGGCACATCGTTGCAGGACATGATGCCATTATCCTGAGCAAGAGAGCAGATGAAGGGCCGCTCGTCATCCTCCTCAGGCCGATAATATGGGGCGGGGAGGGTGATGCCAGATGTGCTGAGGACAAGACGAGAGGAGAAGTCAAGGTTTTTGGAAATACAGTGTTAAAAACTGCATTAAATATGTATATCAACAATTAACATACATATATGCATATGCAAACTAGGGATGTACGAGACTAGCCGACTAGTCGATTAAACAACACTGCTGCTGCCAGTCAACTTGGAAATACTATTTCGTTCACTATACTAGTCGTTCAATTTTTTTTTTTTTTTTCAATTTAATGTTTTGCTTTATATTTTTACAAAAGCTACTTTTAAATCACCATCATGTAAAGGTTAAATCTTAAAACTAATATATTACTTTGAAATAAGTAGTATATTTTACAGCGGGAAACAAAATTATTTCATTTTATCACTCACGGTGGTTTAGGAAAATGTCCACTCGGAAGATGAACGAGGAGAAGGATTATTTTGAAAGCCTACACAAAACTTTTTTGTTTTTTTTTTTTTTTTTTATGTCATGTCAAACTAGTATAAAAATGAAGCTTACTTATAGGCTTGTTATGAGGAACAATATGGTATGACATTTTATATCATAGGATTAAAGGAGAAACATCATGAATGAACTTGGCACTTGAACAGTTGCTATATCAACATCGCATGTATTTGATCTGTTTTAGCGACATTCTGTATGGGATTTGACTGTTCATAGATTAAATAGTCCATTTCAAATAGATTGCATATAAAGACTGTCTCCGGGGGACAGGGTTAGACTAGTCGATTGCAAAATTTCCGTTTAAACGTTGGTGAAATTAGTTGTTGCTAATAACCAATAAGAAAAATAATTTCTATATACAGTATATCTATTTTTGTCTTATTTATTTTTCAGTTGCAGAACTAGAATCATTGTGCATCTATAGACTCATCTGGTGAGTTGCCACTTGTTGGCCTAAGAAAAATGTGTTTTTTTTGCAGGATAGCTTAAAGCTCTCTAGGTAGACCCAGAGAGATTTGAGCAGTATCCAGTATGGACTCACTCTATAACAAAGCAACTGAGCTTGTGTGGTGTACATGTGTGTGAAGCCCATTTCTCTGGGAGTGACCCATTGAGGGCAGCCAGACCCTTAATCACAGTGTTTTACTGCCCAGAAATAGCTGTTTCCATCAGCCACTCACCCTCTCATTCATATAACAGGGTCACAATGACTATTTACCCTCCCTTTCCTCCTCTCTCGCTCGCTCGCTTGTTTTAATCCTCTTTCTCTGTTTCTCTCACACATATCCATGTTTTTGCAGCAACATGCAATGCCATTTTTCGGCACAGTATACAGATAAGCATAGCACATGCAAGCCACAGTCACACTGACCAATCAATGCCTCTATTGCTTTGCGGTCTAGACCGTTAATCTAAATGCGCGCTCACACACACACACACACACAACTCCCATGACAGCCATGTTGGAGGTATTGGATGCCAAGAAAGGATTGGTTCATCATCCCCAGGGTGTAATTCTCCCCATTTGAACGAAGGACTCCTCCGCTGACTCGCAGCTCGATAAAACCAAGAATGTTTCTGCTGTCATGGAGGACATTTTTCCTTTGCCCTTCAACAATACGGCAGCCAAAAGTTCGGAACCATTCGATACAAGTAATGAGCAATGGTATATCAGGCTACACCAGAAAGAGCAATTTGTCTAGGTAGACCACCGTGGTGACACTTGTGCGAGGATATGCGTGTGCACATTTCCAACTCACAAAACTAATCAATGCCTGTGATGTGGCAAATTGAGCCAATGAATCAAACATCATACAGACATCTCAATTCCCCCTTGGGCTTTGTGCGGCACACACTGAGATCTCTCCTATAAACGTCAGTCTCCATTTTCAGGAGGACAGTCACTGCTTTACTTAAAGAGCTCAGTGGTATTGCGACAACCGGAGGGGTTGGGAGAGAAAGACAGAGACAGAGAATCAGTAGGTCTGTCAAGGCTCTGCAAGGAGTGCTGGAGTGTGAATGATGTTTGTGCTAGTGCCAGTGCTCGGGCACAGCGTGGCAGCGCACTAAGACGCACAGCCCAGCGTGGCACACCGCTAACACCCCACTGTGGCACAAAATGCCATTCCACTGCCAATGAGACTGCTCTCACACATGGAGATAATTGACCAATGACTGACAAGCTGTTTGTGGGTCGTCGCAGGTGGGTGGGTGTTAAGGAATGCAGTATAAATCGAGCCCGGGAGATCAGTGTGACTTTGAGGGTTGACTTTTTAAAGGATTTTTTTTTTTTTCATTTGAGTCATTTTCAAAGGTGTGACTTGAACAATCTAAACTGTATGTTTGGTGCCTCTAGCTCAGCTAACATTGATGGTCTTAAAGTCGGTATAATTAAAACTCTATTTTCCAGGGGTGTAACGATACACTGTTATATCGAAATATCGCGATATAAAAAATGTAATCAATATCATTGATGTAAACGATGTGATTTGCAATATAGAGTTTTATCCAAGACTTAGCTTACAGTTTCATTATTGTAGCTATACCCTCATGTCGTTTCAAACCAATAAGATTTTCATTTAAAGTCCATTCCTCTAAAACTTAAAAGATTCCAAAAATGTCATAAATGTCATTAGAAAAAAAATAAAATCTTGAGGGTCCAAATCCAAATCCAAGTCTTCAGAAGAGACATGATGTAGTATGAACATGCACAGGCTACTGTAGTAAACATGAACATTCAAATGCTTGCGTGGCATGTGAAAACATGAGAGTGAATAAATGCAGAATTAAAATTTTTGTTTGAACTAACAATTTAGTTGACATGCTTTAGTTTCAATCGATTAGAACTGTGATCAATTACATTGATAATCTGAAGCGCACATGCTGGAACGGCACTTCTCAAAGCCTAAGTTTATTTTTCAATTAAATGTTACACTTGGATGCACTTCAATATGGAAGATCTGTCCCTACTTCTGTTTCATTGAGACTTTAAAGGTGCTATCAGCAACTAAAAGTAAGATATCACTGAAATAGGTGCCATGAGGAATCACACCTTTCATTTCGATCAAAGCATTTAATTTGTAGATTTACAATAAAACTCGCGAATATCATGATAAACAGTTTTTTATGTCTTCAAGAAAACAAAAGTGTCATTTCTGAATTAGCAAAAACTAGTAATTGAAGTGTAATAAAATGTAATAAATGATGGTGTAAAGCAAGCTGACAAAGTATTCTTACAAACTAGTTTGCTAGCAAATGCTGGCAGCTGCCATCTCTTCGGGTTTGCTGAGAGGGAATGTGGTTAAAAATGGCAATATATTGAGCAAAATGTCAAAAGTTGGCTAAATGGCTGAAATGTATTATATTGATTACATACTGTATACTTATATGTAAAAGTTTGAAGTAATAAATAAAAATTATGTTATGTAAGTGTTGATAATCGGAAATTATCAGCAGCTAATTACTGGTATAGTTAATTGCTATGGTTATGTAATGTTTGAAGCCAAATTAATACGTTTTTGTTCTTGTTATCTAACATTTGCAGTAAATGACTGCAAAAGCTAAAGACATACCATATTTAATACACAGTGGTGTAATGTAATGAAGTAATAACCAAGTTATTGTCATTAGTAAAATCCATTGTCGGTCGACCTCTAGCGGCGAAACCTGCTACTTTGGTGACAAACAACAGTTGATGAAAGTGAACACACATGGCCATATTTGCGAGAAATGTTTCTTATGTTGGAAGACTTGGAATAAAGGAGTCTTCGTATCTGATGGAGTGCCTTCTTTTGCTTACTCAAAGATACAGAAATATTGGCGTTTAAAAACTCCATCCAACCCCAAGAAACACATTAAGGTCTCCACATTCAAATTAACGAGGTTTTTTATTTACTTAAAAACTTATAATAAACATTTTACCATTTTTTTAATTCAAAGAAAAATGGAATAAACAGTTAAAAATGAACAAAATCTTGCAGCTCAAACTGTGTATAGAACCATATGTTTTGCTCCTTTTGTATATTGCATTTACCTGTACTTTCACTGCTTAAGTATGTTTAATATCTTTTCATACTTAAGTACAATAAATATCTCATACTTTAAAATATGTGACTTCATTTACAGTGACTTCAACTTCTACCAATTTCATTTTCTGGTATTTCAGGTACTTTATCCACCACTGATAATACATTAAACTAAAACAGTGCAGTAGGCTATATGTTCTTTTAAAATCCCATAAAATTTCCCCCATCAAAAGAGGAGGAGAATGTAAAAAAGACTGTAAGAGACTTTACAAAGCAGAAGAAAATCAGGCGTTCCCTGAAGAGACTATGATAGACAGTCCTTTCAAAACACTTCATTATTCTTTGAGTGTAGTGCCAGCCCGTAAATATCATTGCTGCAAGACAATAAACGACAATCACACCTCAGCTGACGTTTATAACTCAGACATGGGCTTCTTTATCCAACACACACACACGCGTACAAACAAACGCACAGGTTGTCTCGCACACTGCCATGCACCGTGAGTCCTTTCAAATCCAATCACACAGCAGCGAGAGGCAGGCAGACCACGGTTGGCACGGTAACCTCAGGCAGACACCCACTCATGAATATGGACGCCAATCTGAGTTTTAATCAACTGGAGCCATAGACTGGGTGGAACCACATTTGCATTTTTAGTGCCAGGTAGACAGTAAAAACAAAAAGATGAGAGGAAAGATTAAAAACAAGGATACAAGTGAGAAAGACTAGTTAACATCGTAAAAAACGCATAGGCATTCAATGGAATTGAATGATTTTTTTTTTTTTATTATTGACCCCAATGTCCACGTGATCTCAAACTATCTGTTGATCACATCAAGTATCCCTTCTTAGAGAGAAAGGACATTTGAAATACAAGTCCAATCCAATGATGGCGTGATCAGGCACTCTGAAATGCATCTTCTAGAAGATCCGGCCTCCTAAATTCAATCTCTTTATCCTTGTAAACCTAAACTGTCATCCAAATAAACCCACAGTCTGGATTCTGTGCCTATTTTCGCAATTAAATCACCATTGAAACTGTACATTCGGTCCTCTCTCTCACTCCCTTAAGCCCACCTGCCCTCCTCTTTTGGTACTCACAGGGTGAAGTTCTCCTCTGGGTAACAGCGATTTCTTAATAGTCCAGCCCACAGCTGCACGCCAATGATGCCAAAAATGAAGAAGACAAAGAAACAGAGCAGAAGCACATTTCCCAGCATGGGTAGAGTGTCCAGCAGCAGGTTCACCAGGATACGCATACCTATACAAACACAGAAAAATTATTCTGATAAATAAGAATAACAACCCTAAGATATTCATTATTATATTTGTATCCTTTCATAAAATGTGATAACATTTCCTGCCTCTGACACAACCTTATAATATTATTTAGTAAAAAAAAGTCTTAAAATCAATGTATTTTCACTGATTACGTATTAATTTGTGACATTGCGAAAGTTAAATGACATTGTCCACCCAGTTGTGACTCTGAAGAGTTTATCATCATAAACATTTTTGTATTTGCTTCTGCAACAGTGGGATCGTTTGTGTGAGTGAGGGTGTGTTCATGTGTGTTAGTGAAGCACTGCTGGGATTGAATGAAGGGTGTGTGTCCGTTCTGATTGGAGAACAGCAGCATGTGATTACCACAGTGTGTGGGGTTGGGGGAAACACAACAGGGGACTAACAACACTGATGGAACACATTAACACTCTGTGTCGTGTGTGGAAACATGTTTTACACGTCAATGTGGACAGGTGAAGCAGTGAATATCTGGACCTCTGGACTGAAAGCAGAATTGTGTCTTTGGCTGCTCACAGAAAAGGCAAATCACAGGTAAGAAACAAGAGAGAGGATGAATTGAAAACTTGTGGCGCAAAAGTCAATCAAGTGAGAGCTTAGTTTCCAAGTGGGATGTTCTTTTTTCTAAATATCACAACAGATTATTGCCTTTATCAATGAAGAAATAGTCAACCCCTCTTTCTCTGTCGTTCTCTCTCGTGAATGTTAAAGAGAAAGTAGCCCCCGAACAAATCCAAATTTTGCCTTCATTTACATAATTTATTCAAAATTTGACAGTATTATTTTCTTTCTTTTTTAAATATATGGACAGCCTTCCAGAGAGTTTGTTTATCAGGGTTCCCAAAACTTTAGACCAATCCATTTCAAAGACTTATCTGGTCATTTGTTTACCTAATAATGATTTTTATTAACTCACAAAGAGCCCTTGTTGGGCAATGAAATGTTTGCATAATATTTGAAGAAAATATTTTCATATAATTCAAATATGAAATTGTACTCTAATGTTCACAAGTTTGGGGTCGGTAATGAGTTTTTAGTCTCTTCTACTTATCAAGGCAGCTTTTTATTTGATCAAAAATACAGAATACAGCAAAAATAGTAACATTGTGAAAAAAAGTATAATTTAGAATGACTTTTCCATTTGAATATATTTAATTTCTTTTATTGAAATTGATTGTACTGCTTAATATTTTTGTGGAAACTGTGATATGTTTTAATTCAGGATTCTTTGATGAATAGAAAGTAAAAAAGAAAACATTTATTTGAAATAGGAATCTTTAAATTCCTATGGGGGTTGTATTACAGGTTTGGAACAACATGAGGATGAGTAAATGATAACTGAATGTTAATTTTGAATGAACTATCCCTTTGCAAACCTAGCATAAAACCTTGCTACAATTTGACATGCTACATGAACAGATAAGTGGATGTTTGGATGTTAATTCGATTCTGCATGCCAACAGTGTGTAACGGTGTTTATGCACTGTGCTCGTGTGTGTCTTTGAAATCTGTTTTTATTTACAGGCACACAAAGACCTACATTCTACAAACATTTCCTGAAACCCTCCCCAGAACACTTGCTTCGAGCAGCAAAATCAAATGCAAGCTAATTCAGTTATAGGGTATACAGAAATCCTGGAGGTAAAATGTTTTTTGTTTTTTTTTAATTCGACCCAAATCCAACATTTTACTTCAATATACAGTGAAAGTCCAAAGTTTCAATACTGCTCAACACCATATTTTATTCACGATTAATATTACATTGCATATAATGTGTGCTGGTCAACTATTCTAAAATTATAAGAAACCCATAGAAAACAGCAAAAATAAATAAATAAAAAACAAAACAAGGGGAAAAAACAAACAAAACAGGGACATTATGTGTACATGTGATTTATTTTAAATTTGCTACTTAATGTATTATTCCAATATCCAAATATGATACTAAATCCCACTGGGAGAAGGTCTTTTATTTGTGCTGTCTTTGCATTTGAGCACATTTTAAACAGGACACGCATTAGCAGAAAAAGTGAGCAAATACAAACGTATTTATAGAAAACAGTTGACAATGAATAGACTGGAGTCAAAGGACCAATAATAGCAAAACGAATCACTAATTATAAAAAGAATATCAAGTTAGTAGCCTATAAGAAACTGACATAATGAGGGCTGTGTTAATGCATACGTCATTTAACAAATTTTAAAAACACGGATGGATAATAAAAAATGCTTCCTGACATTTTGACAGAAAAGAAAACAAGCAAGAACAAAATTTAAAATTAGCCCGTCAATTTTCATTTTACAAATGATCTTTTCCGTGCGTGGCCTGTGTTTTTGAGAGAGAGCTCGTGCAGCACTGACACAACAGTACTTTTTAATCCATAAGTAACGTACACGCTAGTTTTCATACAAAATAAATATGTAACAAAATTAGTTACTTTAGTTATTATTAACACAATAACGTACATAACACATGCAGGCTACGTTTCTTAACACTGAGAATGAATAAATAAATGCCTGTTTCTCCAGACTTGCTTAGTCATCCACAAATGACAGAACTTTCATAATCACTAAGCATAGCGATTTCAATTTTATATTTATTGTTCAGCATTACTTGAGAATTTTATCATTTGCATGGCTGAATGATGTCTTCATCTTATGAGAGTAGCCTAACCATGAATGAATGAAGGAGTATTTTAAGATAATCCATGCAATCACTCCCGAGTGATAATCGAATCCAGATTAAGGTAACTCGATACAATATTTAAACTTTCCACATCTATCCCAGTCCGTTTACATTCAGGAGTCAGAAGTACCGTGACTAACTGTCCTCGCTTAAATCAGCCAGACGGCAGGCTGCAGGAGTGGAAGGGGGATCAAGCAGGATTCTTTATTTCTGTCGATTTTCAGTATCTTTTTAATGATAGGCCTTAAATATATATATATATATATATATATATATATAGTATTTATATTTCATGCACTACACCATGGCCAAGGGCACCGAAATATTGAGAAATCCTGGGCTTCTTATGGAAGCTCAAAGAAAGGCCACAAGTTTCCGATGGGTGTGAACTTGAAGCATAAGAATATAAATTATGGCGTTTGTTCAAGGACAACTGTTTTTCTACCCAATTACAGGAGGGATTAATCTGGCTCTGCTAATGGTGGTGGCAGAGAAGCAATAGCTCTGAAATCCTGTTTGATTAATTCCAGCTTTGCTGCTCTGGAGGACCTGCACGTCAAACACAGAGCTACACAATGCACGCTACCGTGGCTTTGATAGGACAGGGTTTGAAGCTGACACATGAGGGTGATTTTGAGGCTTGGCATTAACACAAGAAAAAAATACACACAATGATCGGAGCATGTGTAACATCTGAGGTTTGAAGATCACAGATTTTTTGGGGGAAAGTGTTTGTGTCTTGTTTACTCACTGGGTACTCTGTTGATGGCTTTGAGAGGTCTGAGTACACGCACTGTTCTGATGGCGGAGAAGTTGATGTTCTGGAGATCAAGGGAGTATTCCACCATCCTGAGAAATACAAACATACAGAAAATTACTGTCACAGTGTAAACAAACTGAGTGTTGTTTCTGCCAGTGTTGTAGTTGAGACCGGCTCATTAAAAACCAAGACCAGAGGAAGGTCAAGACTGTGTCCAAATGTTCAAGTCCATGACAAGACTTCAACACTGGCTTCTGCCACCCTTTTCATTACTTAAAGGGGCCATAGTCTAGCCTGGGAAAACCAAGACAACTTCCGACAAATTTAGATTTGCTCTAAAAGTTAGCCTGGCAAAGAGCTCATTCAAGCCCATTTCCAATCCGTCGAAATCGAGGCACCAATCAGAAACGTCGGGGCGGGCTTTACACGATGACAACAGCGCTGGGATTTTGAAGCAGATTTTGTAGCCTACATTACAAAGATGGATGCCGCCGTCGAACATCACTCCCGTCTGTTTTAAGCGATTTGAACGTTTCGTTTTTTTGTTAAAAACTGAGCAAAGAACAACACTCGGAGATGTTTCTCCGCCGCTCTGCATACATCATCTCCTTCATTGCTCTGATTGGTTTTAGGTCTATCCGTGATGTCCGTTGGTGACGCCCCTCTGGAAATGATTAGTCTATGACGCTTTGCCAGACCATAACTCAGTTACAACTAAGAATGGTCTGGTTTTAACCAGGCTAGCCATAGTCTATACTTTTGTAGCATTTTATTTTAGTATTAGTCATTTATTATTATACCAAAAACATTCTAATTATTTTTATATGTCCATTTCTAACCTCTCTCTAACTGCCCTTTTTAAAAAAGTAAACTAGCCAAAGGTTTTAGGAGAGCAAAGCTGGTCAGACTGGTCAAGCGTAATGGTTTTAGAGGGGTTTTGAACCATATATTTTGGTAACCATCTATTTTGATAACCATCCTAATTTTTTAAGAATTTATTTATTTATTTATTTTTAGTTTGAGAATGATGCAAAAAATCTGACAGCCTGTACAGATGAATTCACAATGATCATTGTCAATATTTTAATCAGGCATTTTATTATACTAAAAATCCAAACACTTAATTTATAAAACTTTAAGGCCAGAAAGATTTTCTTTTTAGAAATAAATAAATACTTTTCTTCAGTAAAGACATTATATTAATCAAAAATTACAGTCAAAAGCTTTATTATATAAATGTTACACAAGATTTCTATTTCAAATAAATGCAGTTCTTTTTCCAAATAATCCTGAAAATGTATCACTGTTTCCACAAAAATATTAAGCAGCAAAACTGTCTTCAACATTGATAATAATATACATAATATATAACTGGGTCTTGAGGAACAAATCAGCATATTAGAATGATTTATGGATCATGTGACACTGAAGAATATATTCAGTAGAAAACAGTTATTTTAAAATGGACTTTTCCCACATTATTACTGTTTTACTGTATTTTTGACAAATAAAGGCTGCCTTGGTGAGCTCAAAAGACTTCTTTCAAAAACATTTAAAAATCTTGCTGACCCCTAACATCAAACATTTGAATGAAATTTGGTCTTCCATCCTCAGCATCACAGGTATCATCCACTGTAGGTGAGCAGCAGTTTCATACAGACAAGCCCAACACACTACAAAAAGACCCCTCCATTCATCAACCTGACTCTCTCTCTCTCTCTCTCTCTCTCTCTCTACACACACACACACAGGAGGACAACAGGCCGTACTAATGCAACCCAACCCAAAGCACAACACTGTTCATCTTGATATGACCATGTGCACTATATCAGGGACTGAAGTGGTTGGGGTTCATCTCTCTTGTCTCTGTGAGAGCAGCTCTGTTTGAAATAGTTACTCACTGCTCTCTGCATCAAACGGCCCTGTGGGACTGTGTGTTTGAAACTAGAGGTCAGAGGGTTTCTTTTCCCAGACAGAACCAGACATTATCAGCTGTTGATCTCCCATTTAATCTGCATGGTTCATCACAGCGAACAAATCTAGATGCTGTTGTGTTACCAACAGCAGACACACACACACACACACACACACACACACACACACACACTTATTTCCACCCGAGTGAGGAGCATCTTAAAGTAGACACACGCCTCCTGTGATGTCGCCGATCTCACCAGCCTTCCTTTGACCTCCATCTCAATGAGATGTTTTACAATGGGAGGCATCTGCGGTGAGAGCTGAGTCACAGAATGGGAAGAATGAGTCACACCAGCCACTGAGAATATAATGACAGCATCCTATAGCAGCCGAACAGGGAGTCACACATTCAACATGTCTACATAACCACAAAGCGAGAAATACTCCACAGCTCTCCAGAGGCGTTCCAAAGCCAAATCCCTTCTTAAATACACACAATTAAACCATTTATTATCATCATATCACAAATCAGATGTATACACAACATAAATATAAGTTTACACTTTGCAATGACATGCGACACAAATTAACTCAAACTAAGTTCTGTGCTAGTCAGAATGCATATGTCACGTTGGGAATACACTCTTTCTGTAATGCTTTAATACACAGTTAATTATTAACTGAAGCATAAAGAATTACATTAGTGTATTCAGTATCATTATTTTTTGATGTTGAGATCATTATCTCAGTTTGAATAACTGAATAATTGGTTCCCTTTATTAACATTTTATTTTTGTCAAATAAAATAAGATGTATTTTAATCAAAGTTAAATTTAATGAATATTACATAAAAAGCAAAAAAAAAAAAAAAAAAAAAAAAAAGAACACTAAAGTCCAGTTTATATTTCAACCCACCGGCGAGTAGAAACAAAGAGCTAATTAAAATATTCAGTGGAGAGTAAACATCTGGTTGCAAGCGCTGCATTTCGACAGGCAGGTGCAGACATGCTGTGCCTTGATTAGAAAAGTAACCAATTATTATGACGTTACCAATGAGACCGAATGTTAATAAAAGTTGTACAAAGGGCTTATGGGATACTGATCACCCCAGTGGCATGGATTTCACCAAAATACTTGTCTTAAAGGGATAGTTCACTTTGAAATTAATTTTGGATGTTTTAGCTTACCTCAAGCGCATCCAAGATGTAGGTGTCTTTGTTGCCGCAGTAGTTTAAATTTTGATATTTTAGGTCAAACCGTTCTTGTCTGTCAGTCATATAATGCAGGCAGGTAATGGTGGTCACCACCTCAAAGAGCATTCACAGAGAAGTCCAAATTAAACATGATTTAATGACTCGTAAATGTAACCAAGTACACATTGATGGCCTAAGACATGAAACGAGAGGTTTGTGTGAGAAAACAAACAGTAATTATATCGTTTTGACCTATTGTAACCACAGCTACGTCCAAGTGATCCGAGTCTGCGCAATTGCCGGAAAGCGCTGGAAGTGATCTCTCGCACGGCTGCGAAAAAATTCAACGTTGTCTGTTGATATATCGAAATTGTCTTCCTTTGCGATTTCCTGTATATCTAAATATGTTTAGATCTTCGCAGTGAAGGGTAACACTTCCAAAATCTCTGTGTAAACAATGAGTGACGCACACACGCAAGGGATCACTTATGGCGCTTTCCGGCTCTTGCACCGACCGAAAATTAAAAAAATTCAAAATTGAAACTACTGCGGAAACAACGACACCTACACCTTGGATGCCCTTGAGGTAAGTTAAAACATACCAAAAATTAATTTCAAAGTGAACTATCCCTTTAAGCGAAAAGAGTTAGTAATTCAGAGTTGGAAACAGGCCAGAAAGCGAGAGAGAGAGAGAGAGAGAGAGAGAGAGAGAGAGAGAGAGAGAGGACATGGACTGTGTTCCTTCGTAGTACTACCGCAGAAGAAAGATCGACTGCATTGCTTTTGTAGAGCTTGACAATCCCATTATGTCAATTACTGTCTGACTGACAGCAGTGTCAGCACTCGAAATGTAGTGGGACGCTGCCACACAACTGTGGCCGCTTGTGTGGCTCACGCATGTGTGTGGCTTAGGCAGTGACAGACATACTCCTTAACAATAATAAAATCCAGGGAATAATGTTACACAATACCCATGCAAATCCTCATAAAAAAATAGGCCAACGTTTTCTCATAACAAATAGGCTATAACATATCCAACATGTCATAAGCATGCATAATCAGACAAGATTCCAGTGACAAGCCTTTTTCTCTAGTCCAAAAAGTAAAAAATGATGAGGGATGCAAGAAAATCAGAGTAAATCAGCATCACTTGGATTTTATGCGCTCTCCGAATATTATGCAGCTGTATTTTTCTATTATTTCTATGATGCCTAACCAGACGAGACTTTTATGGATCTTCTTGTGGAATTTTTCATAATGTTTCATAACTACCAAATTAATCAAAACAATGATAATCCAAGTCACACTTCAAAATCAAAATATTAAAAGCCCCTATTAACTGGCTTTCATAATAGAAAACATTTGTATGTATGTAAATAATAGGCTGCAAAGCCACTATTAAATACTCATTGGTAACTGATTGCATCATTACAAAATAGTTTAAAAAAAACGAACACGCATGTAAAGGGGGGTGTTAAGAACCGCTTACGATAATGGTGTGTGAATTCTGTACTGATGCTTTACGGTTTCAGGTTCAGTGATGTGGTAATGTTGTGTGACACAAATAGCCTTGACCTGTTTGTATACACTGCATGCAAAAAGTGTGGACTTCAGTTATTCTTACCTCATTTTTTATGAAGTGGTCTACAGCTGGTGTAGGGACAACAAGCCTGAAGAAACGTGAGTTAAAGCGCCTTGCTCCTGTTACCCTGCAGATCAGCCCATGAGCTTGATATTTTTGGGTCAATGCCCAGAAACTCAAGTACTATATAAGCCATCTCCTTCAAAAACATGTCAAGAGGAGACCCTCACAATAAAACACTCAACAAGTGTGAACTGTTTAAAACTGAAGGCAGCTGCTTTACTACCTGCTAAGACACCATAATGTCACATCTAATGACCAAGTAAATATTTAAAGATTGTTTCGCCATAAATCATGATTTGAAATGAACACATTTATACACTGCTTTTAACCACTC